AACTGTAAATACGCTAATCTATCAACCCTTATAAATTGACACATTGTTACAAGCTTGTTCCAGCATTCCCTGTCCATGCCATTGTAATTATACAGCCGTGCTCTCTACGAATATGGAGTAGGCTTATGAATGTTTATTGTACAGGGGAGTGTTTCACAAAGATTGAGATCAACTTTAAGGCCATTCATGCCACTGGTTGCTCTTACCATTATGATCTTTAGATAACATTTTTTCCTTCAATAATGAATTATCGACAAATTGAAATTTTGTAGATTTGTGACCATGATTTGTACGTCCCTTGAGAGACCAATGCAAGTAAATGGTGAGAGGAAACAGTCACAAAAATGGCCTGCCATAGTTAAGTCCAACTTAAAGGTAATACAAAGTTTTGGTAAATTTTGAAAATTGGCTGGATAGTGATTCTTTACAATTTGTATATATTTGGATGCCCCTGTGGATGTATTATAAGCACCAGAAAATTTAGCCCCTAAAACACTTCTGCTTTCGAGAAAATTTGAATTAAAAAATTTACCGGTGCTCCCGGTAAATTTCGATAAATTTCAAATAGCGCCTACGGCCAAACAATGGTAGCTGCGACCATGAAAATCTCAGAATATGTAGTTGTGGTATATAATTTCCAAATGGGAATAGCCAATCGGTCGATTCTAGTCAAGAAACATTATTTTATAGCTAAATTGATATCTTGACCTTAAGAGGGAGCTATACAACACGAACAGCTTATTATTTACAATTTCATCTCTTTAGACTCGATTTCAACAGCGACAACGGTTACTGAATATTGTAGGATCACATATGCTTCCAATATGTTAATTTGAACCAAATTCATGACCCCATACCAAAACTTTGTATTACCTTTAAAGGTGATACAAAGTTTTGGTATTGGGTCATGAATTTGGTTCAATCTTAGTCTTTATGAAACACTCCCAAGGCAAAGTGTAGCCTTTATGCATTTTTTTAAATATCAGCAAGCATAATTTACAAAGCAACTTACATTCTAGCATAAGACCATAATCAACAACAGGAAACCACCTATGTACATTCGTTTTTAATACAGCCGAATCATATTTTGCATAGTAAATACTGCTTACCGTTTATCTGTATATGAGAATAAAGGTCATTGTCAAATTATATACAGTTATATTGCCTGCAAAATGATATACATGAAGTATATTACTGTCATCAGTCAACACATTTCATTAGAGTGATATCAGCATACTATATATTCACTCATACAACAGCATAAAATATCGAATACATACCGAGAAATAACTGCACAACACAACAACTTGTTCTAAAGTCCACTTTGCTTGTAATGTCATTGTCAAAGTGTTGATAACATGCCTTCATGCGCGACCTGGATGCATTTTATAGCTTTTTCTTGCAAATTGAAAAGGTAAAATTTGCATCAGGCTTTTTAAAATCGCTGGAGCAAGGAGGACAAAAGATTATAACCGACAGTCACAGAAAGTCAAATAGAAAATGATAATAATAGTATTTTGCTATTGTGCGTTTGACAAGAAAGAGGGCGGAATTTTTTTTTTTTTTTTTTTAAACAGAAAAATCAATCCGATTATATTCCAGTCATGTAAGCCTAGACTCGTGTAGTCACAATTATTTCCAAATTCCACATAATTTTGCTAAAGTCCAACACATATTATCTAGTCATGACTAATTTAAATTGCATTTTGTCTGTCGTCCTCACTTCCATCTCATTTGTTTGAACAAAGAGTCTCTTCTTTATCTACATGTATTCTCTGACTGCTTTTGAAATGAGAAAGTTCGTGCAAGATGGTGATAATTTCGACCTTTTGGTCAAAGCTAAGACGCCGCGAAAAAGTAAGATGTTACAGTTCTACAATTATTTTTTTGCAAAAACAATTATGCGGTTAGCGTTTCCATTGCACTCTGTAAATTTAAAGATAAACTTGAGTTCTGGTAAAAAAAGAAAATGAATTCTCACAGAATCTAACGAAACTTACACTGAATGTTCAAGATTACAAATAAATGTCATGTGTCAAACAATTTTGAAAGAAAATGTATACTGGCTGAGTAATGAGCATAGAAAGATAAGGAAATCAGGGTAGTACTAGCCCTGACACCATGTGTGTTGTCCCATATACATCTTTCTGTGTAAGTGATTGTAACTTTACCAAGACTCTGCCAAATTTATGATGATTTTGATGACTCCAGAACCTTGCATTACACACCATTACTTACATGCTATATGATCAACTTTTCTGATCAATTCCACACCTTTTCTTTCACAATGCAATGGCATTACCAGAACTCAAGTTTATCTTTAACGTTGAGTAGGCTTACAAATCATTTTTATTTTCTTTTACTGGAAAATAGGTTCCCTCTGTTATATTATAAAAATACCATAATTAAATTTCGACAGTACGATGATTTTCAATAGACATAGAATCAAATCAAAGCCTTGGTGGGAAATAATTTTCTGAGAATTAGTGAATTTTTAAAACGTAAGCGATTATGACAGAACGAGGGGCATTGCCGGTTTATTTTTAATTGAAATGTCTCACAAGATAACCCGAAAAATTTCCGACAAGCCTCTCTAATGAGGCTCCCTTTTACATGTTGGCAATAGAGCAAATAAACAACAAAAACTGTTAATAGAAAATTGAGAAAAAAAACTATTAGCGACGCCCCTGGACAAACGAAATCTTGGTTTTCCGAAGAAAAGTCGATATGAAACTCTCGTTCCAAACTCAACTTAAGGCCCGGTCACACAGGGAGGACGCATGGGGAACGCACGGCCAGCGCATTGGAAATTTGCAATTTGGGCCAGTGCGTTGTCGTTCGCTAGGCGTGCGTCATCATTCGTTACTCGTTCGTCGAGCGCGCTGGACCAACGCTGGACCAGCGCTATGCATGCGTCGTCATTCGCTGTGTGCGTCGGGATTTTTTGAGCATGCTCAAAAACGTGCGCCGAGCTCGACGCATGAATATACACGCCAAAGGCACGCCAGACATGCGCCGGAGCGCGCTAGACCAGCGCCAGACATGCGTGGAGCGCGCTAGACCAGCGCCAGACAAACGCGGAGCACACGCCCTGTTGACGCACAGCGCGCTAGCTACACGCCGTGCATTTTGTGGCAGCTCGCTAGCTTTTCTAAAATTATGACAAAAGTTAGGCACACGTTCTTTTCCGATTTCCAATGCGCTGGCCGTGCGTCGTAGAACGCGGTGCATGCGTGGACCATTCGTCCAGCGCGCTAGCAACACGCTGTGCATTCGTGGAAGTTGTTTTCATGTGCGCTCTGTGTGCGCCCTGTGTGCGCCCTGTGTGCGCCATGTGTGCGCCCTGTATACGCCCTGTATGCGTCCAGCGCGCTATGCATTTGGTGTCAGCTAGTCGTATAGCTTCGACAAAAGTTGGGCGCACGACAACGCACTGGCCAAAATTGCAAATTTTCCATGCGCCGGCCGTGCGTCCCCCATGCGTCCCCTCTGTGTGACCGGGCCTTTAAGATGAGCGTAAATCGATAATGGTATACATGATTTTATTGCATTGATGGATCGATATAAATAGAGACAGCGTCACTTCAACTACGAAACGAATTTTTGGTTGATAATATTAGTCTACTAGTCTTTAAAGACATTCTTACACTTTGAATTAAAATTCAAACAGTTTACCTTCTTATTATCACCCGTGCATGCATATGTATATGTACGTAGTCATTGGTAGTTACAGCTAGAATACAGTTTGTTATCGTAATGTGCTATTGAAGTGAGCGGACATTACGATTCTTTAATATAGTCAAAGAAATCGTCAAATAATACATCCTACACATACAATACATGAATATCATTGCATTCGAAATAGTGAAACATTTAAAATATATATTGATGATGAGAACGATCAGTAAAGATTATATGATATTACCGTGGTTGTCAATATCATCTCATAATTTCTTGTTAAATCATCGTCATTTTACAGAATAATATACATCTCAAAATCTTCCTTTCTTATAATAAATATTACACTAATAGCCTCATTGACATTGTATACTCCTTCTTTCTTGTTTTCGTAATCAAATGAAACATGGATGACATACGTAATGGAATTTGAGTTTCAGATACGGTGGATGGCCAATTGCTTCTGTAATAGTAGAGAACAGCTGTTCTTCCACGGGGTACTTAATATTAAAAAATAACGCTTCAAATTTACAAATATAACAAACTACCCATGTTCATGATAATAATAATAATATTTCAGTTTACATACTATAGCACTTGATATATAATCGACGACATTTCTAAGTGCTTCGCGGATACATTATTATTCCGGTTACGTTGTTCCAGACCAATAATTCAAGCCGCCATACATCCACTTATTGGACCGACTTGGCAGCCATCAAGTGCATCACAAACAAGTTGAGTGAGCCAAGGACCTTTGGAGGCTCATTAATTGCTTGTTTCTTCTGATATTAACACATTAATTGACATGGCATTGAAAATAATGAAAAGTACTTTTTATAATGGGCCTTTTAGCGACTAAATCTTCCACGACAATTAATTTCTAATTTATTACTTATCACAGCTTATCACTTTTCACCTTGATCCCATTATATACTTGCATCAAAATAACAAATGCATGTCTCTATGCGTCAATATCGTCCGTCTCTCTTGCCATTACAGTGCACCATGGGAATAATCTTGATTATTATCAAAATGGTTGTAACAATAACATTCAAATTTCAAACTTATATGTAAATAAGTAATAGAGACGTTAATATAGAAATAAGTCACCCCGATATAGTTTAGGTGGAGCATATTTGTTATATCGTAAAACGAAGGCGCTTTATGTTTTAAATCTGTAACTCTCCTCATCGTCGACGAAAAGACACAGATTCTTTTTTTTTGGGGGGGGGGGAGAGGGGGACATAATATGACCTATTTTTAATAAATCCAGATATTGATGTTATCCTTTCTTTAGCCTAACCTAACTGATACTGATTTCACGATATTCCTTTCTGACCAATGGATATATCATGCCAGAAAGTGACTCGGAATCGTCCATCTGTGGCTCCTCCTCCGGTTTCCATAACGTCCTCAAGGCTAGAAACAAGTTGGGGAGAAAAGAGGGGAAAAGTGTCAAGTATTGTATGCCACAAGTTCATGAGACCCACTACTTTTTAATCTTTGTTTTGTGGGCTGTCGGTCTACCAAGATGATCACCTTTGCCAACTCGTTTAAATCGCAAAAGCAAGACTAGTTTATCCTATTACATCACTTGTATAGCACATATTGTATATAAGTAATGGAGGCATTACGATGGATATAAGTCACCCCGATATAGTTTAGGTGGATCATATTTCTTAAATCGTGAAATGAAGTGTCGTTTCGCGAGATGTCGGTCTACCGAGATGATCACCTCTGCCAACTCTTCATATTACATGTATAGCAACATAGGAATAAATATTAGGATATTAAGATCTAATCAAACGACTGCGATCCCTAAATTCGATTCGACAACTATAACGGTCGTTATCTTCCCACAAATAGACATTTTCGAGCCCTTTTGTTTTGAGGGAAGTTCTACATTAGTATTATCTTTCAAATGCCGTTGGAATTTAACCTTTTCATTTGTTTGGCCTGCAAATGGGACACAGTACCTTTAAAAGAAAACAAGAAAAAGTTAACACTGGATAATAGACGTTGAGAGTTGATACGATACGGCACGACATTATTTTGATCTGCATCTGTTTGTTTTTTTCATTTTGCATCCTCCGATTTTTGGCGAGGGTGGCGATAGTTAAATAGTTTAAAATTAGTTGAATGATGTTGCTCTCGTATATTATTTAGTGCTTTACAGGTTGCGATGTGTATCGTAATTGATTCATTGTGTTTCGTGTTGTATGATAGTTTCTCGTCTTCATGACGTAAGTGACCTGTGCTCGATTCCCCGGCGGGGAAAGGTTTTGAACCTTATCAACCGTGCTAACATAAGAGAGGTTTTCATCTGTTACACTCGTCCCAGTAGAATGACAGTATTATACCGTAGTAAAGAGAGGTAAAGACGAGCAAAGAAATAATAAACGATGCTCAGGTGTTGATTTCCCCCGAGACACGAAGGTTCTTTCGTATTAGTTTATGTTTCTGTCTTGCTCTGTGCTAATTTCTTTTTTCTCCTCCAAGGTCGTGACTTCCTTTGATTCTCACCTCAGCAGGTAATCATTTCCTTTCGAATCATGGATACATTCAAATGCAAACTACAAATTTAGTGCCAGTAACATATTCAGTTGGTAAACAGACCGCTTAATCGACGGCATTTCTTTAAATTGATTTCTTTAAAATTGATTTCTTTGAGATTTATGACTAAAATGTATACATTTGATTATATTCAGTTGGTAAACAGACCGCTTAATCGACGGCATTTCTTTAAATTGATTTCTTTAAAATTGATTTCTTTGAGATTTATGACTAAAATGTATACATTTTATTGTCTTTTTTTCAATATTGATGTTTTTTATGATACTACAGTCGGATAGTGTGAAAAAGAAATAACTTTGGCGCTTATCTTCCAAGATGAGTCTTTTTCCTTTTAAATCTGAAACGCATCTTAGTTTGGCTTATGAGTGTTAACACCTTTCATCCTTTCTCTAAGGAAATCTGTATATTCAGGTTTCTGTTCAACCATGATAAGAAAAATCGTTACCTCTTCTGAAATTTTTCGAACAAATTACCGTCTGGATTATTTTGCTTGTATTTGAAAGAGTAACTCATAGTCTTGGTCAGATTCAGATAATCAACAGGCGAATACTGAACGTTTACTCCAATGGTCTCCCTGCGGAAAGAAAGAGAAGGAGAATAGGAATAATTATTATATGTTCAGTAGTCACTTTTCCAGTTATTGATCGAAGTGTCTGGCAACTGACTATTTTGGGAAAGAAAGAAGGAATATAGCGAGGCTATATTGGGTTTTTAATGGAAACGGATGTATTAGGAATCACCGTCCAAGTCAAAAGTCAACTCCCTATCACTTTATGGCTCCCCCTTCTCTCTCCCTCTCTCTCTCCCTCGCTCTACCTCCCTCTCCTCCCTCCTTCTTCGTCTCCCTCTCTCGCTCTCCTCCGCCGTCTCTCTCTCTCTCTCTCTCTCTCTCTCTCTCTACCATTGGACACTGAATCTGATGCCCTTATCAATAAAGTCAGCCTAAGGAAGATGAGCATGGACTCGTGTGAGTGAACAAAGCAATTACCCACTGCATTTCATTACAAGATCATCTATACGAGCATTCATCAAATCATAGTAATATACATGTAGGCCTGAACATCCAAAAGTAAAAATTACCTGAAACAGCTTAAAAGTCTAAAGTTTATTGGCAGAATGAGTCTGCCAATTCGCGCCCGTGGAAGATGTCTGAACTCTAGACATCGAAACGGTAACAGGTCATTTTTACTTACGGATGTGATATACGATCTTTCAAACCAGTACTACAACCATCTCGATGAAACTCTTCCGTCATAATGGAAAAATTACTTATAGATTTTTACGGCAGTCAAATCAATGACCGTGTATATCGTATAATCTTAACCTGAGAATACCTGATACGTTTGCTGGAGCTTATCAACGGATGACAAAATCGACTGCGGCCTTTTTTTTTCAGTGGCTCGGGGTTCAGGTTAGTGCCTTCTGATCAGCAAGAACCTTTGATTAAAATTAAGGCCAAAATTAGTCTGGTTGCTTATCTAGAATCATCCGTTTCTTGATATTCGAATAGAATCATAATTAATAAGTCATTTTCTTTCCCACGAGTGCTATATAGATTTCGAGTTTTCAATCATTTCGCCGCCGCCCCCCCCCCCCCCTCTTTTCTGACAACCCTGGATACACCTGTTATTTGTCTAGGATTCTACATGTACATACCTTATTGTCTCAGGATAATGACTCTTGAGGTTTATGTAGAACTTATCTAGATCATCATGACTGACGAGCCGATAGGTATCTAGAATACTCATCTACAAAATAAATGTACGATAGAAGTTAATTTGCTTCATATTGGAAATAGTGTTGAATGTGGTAAAGAGAAGGGTGGATGTGGGGGGGGGGTTACTATACAATACAGGGAAAATCAGTGAAAACCTGTTATTCAGGGACGTCATATTAAGGGTCTACCCTCCCCCCCCCCCCCCTTCCTCCAAATATCTTAAACTTTTGTTGGCAAATCTATCAGGATCACTCTTTGTGACAAACCTCTGTCGTTCCATAAACTGTCCTATATTACTTCTTGTTACCCTTGGGAACACCAAACCGTCCCCTTTCCTTCTTCTTGTTGCAGTCGTCTGGTTTGATTTTTTTAAATCAACTTCCGGTAGGTTTATAGCCTTGTGTATTTTTTTTAGCAGATGTTTCTGCATTTATTAATACATCGAATATAAAACATTCAAATAACAATAATAGTATATAATATAATTGATTTACATAAAGAGTGACAACTTAATACACACAAATAAAAATGTATAGTTGAAAGCTTGAAAGTATGGGGTAAGTAAAAATAATCAAGATAATTGCAGAGGCCAACTATCATAAGCAAAGATGCTTGAGTCGATAGCAGCCGGGAAGGGGGGGGGGGGGTACATGGCGCTGTTATAGGAGTATGTAGATGAATAGAGAGTCACGTATAAAGATTTTGTTTAGAAAGTATCTGAATAAAAAGTGGAAAGAAATTAAAGAAAGAAAAGAAATGTGCAAGTGTGTGCAAGTGGGTGTGTGCAGGTGAAGTAAGTGTTTGATTCGTATTGTTAATGAACTGGTCATCTAAAATTAATTTGAATAAACAATCAAAACCTCTGATACCCTTATGATGTTTGTGATGTTTTTGTATCACCCATTGAAATGTGTTAACATGACAATGATGTACTAGCAATCCGAACATTACTCCTACACGGAATTCCATAGGCCCAATGGTATTAAAATTGACCTTTCATTGATTTCCTGAAGACTTTGCAATTGCGTTCTAGTCAAAAACGAAATTTTGACTAATGTCACAGTTTTCATTCGTATTTGAAATTGTATTATTTATTATTTCTTTGTAAGTTTGACGACACATGTCTGCACTCACGTATCTATCATTACATTCGTTGATCTTGGTTTCCATGACGGGATCATCATGGTGTAACGTCTTCCTTATGGTAGATACGATCACGACGTGTCCTCCTGGTCGTAGAACACGGTCAGCTTCCAGACAGAAGGCTGAGAAATCAAACCAATGTGCGGCTTGAGAGACGGCTACCACATCTACCGTCTTGGATTCCAAAGGAATCTTCTCAGCTGATGAAATTCTATAAAGGGTCGGAAATAACAAATATTCGGAAATAATTATAGAGTAGGACTTGTAATTGCTTAGCCAATACAACAATGCTCGATTTTGAAGTACAAACTATTATTTTTAAAGTGTTACATGTAATCTCTTATGGATTTTATAAACAAATATAACTCGCGTTGATGTATACTTTCCCTGCCAAAAGAAAATGATATCCATTTGAATATTTACAACAAACTGTAGTTAACAAAATATTAAGAACACAATTGAGAATAAACCAAGAACAGACCAGAACTACAAGTTTATTATTTTCGATACCCCCCCCCCCCCGAAAGTAGTTTAATTGTTTTATTTTCTTTTGTATTTCATGTTATATTGATCTTTTTCATTTCAAAATAACATCACATAGTATCAACATAAATTATGATGGATGATAATATAATAAGATATAGATGACGAGAGATATACACATGTCTTACATACATGAAAAAAGCACCAATCAAATGACTAGTTGTCGATTGCTGGTATTAAGAGATTACATACGATTACAAGAAACAACCAATATATTGTGCACAGACCTTTTCTTTAACTGCTTAGAGAAAAGCATTATAGAGAAAAATGTCATCGCTCCCTGGTTTAAATTAACTTGCATCATTCATAGTTTTTGAGTGAGTTCTGCTTAAAACTTATTTCCGAGGAGAATACCTATGTATCAACACATTCAATTTCTTCATCATCCCCTCTTTCCCTCTTTTATCCTTCTTTTCATCGGTTCGAAATAGTGGACATAGCCCCCCATAAGTTTGACAGTACAAAGGTGAGGTCTAGAACACATCGACCTTTTATGCCGATGCTATCCACAATATTATTCTGATTTTGCAACCAAATTATAAACTGCAATTTCCTTCAAGATAGGTTTTACAATTTTCTACTTGCCCATATTCTACGTTCTTTCTCTGGTTCTGACTCCGCGCTTCGTCGATCTGGGCTACACTGATATCATACCCGATGGCGCGGTCGAAGTGTCTAGCGAGACTCTGAGTAAACTGACCAGACCCACAGCCAATGTCGACCACTAAGGATTCGTGATCGTCTGATTTCTGAACCAAAAAAGCGACCAAGAAAATTAGCTAAGGGTACTGACTGAATATAACAAATTACAAATAAATCAGTCAAAGGACCCTTATGAAACTAAGTAACCGTTTTCTGTTCAGAAAGTATTAAAGGTAATACAAAGTTTTGGGAAATTTTGAAAATTGGGTGGATAGTGAATTTCTACAATTTTGATATATTTGGATGCCCCTGTGGATGTATTATAAGCACTAGAAAATTAAGCCCCTAAAACACTTCTGCTTTCGAGGAAAATGGAATATAAAAATTTACCGGTGCTCCCGGTAAATTTTGATAAATTTCAAATAGCGCCTACGGCCGTACAGTGGTAGATGCGACAATGAAAATCTCAGAATATGTAGTTGTGATATATAATTTCCAAACGGGAATAGCTAATCGGTAGATTTAAGTCAATAAACATTGTTTTATAGCTTAATTAATATCTTGACCTTGAGAGGGAGCTATACAACATAAAGAGTTTATTATTCATAATTTCATAACTTTAGACTCGATTTCAACTGCGATAAAGATCACTGAATATTGTAGGATCGCATACGCTTCCAATTTGTTAATTTGAACCAAAATCATGACCCCTTACCAAAACTTTGTATTACCTTTAAGTAATAGTTATAAAAAACTAAAACACGATCGCAAAAGACGTTCAAGAAATCAGAAATCAGTCAGTTCCAACGAAGAGCGTTTGGATTATTATCATTTTCTACATTATGTCATTGTTTTTTCGCACATTTCAATAGGTGATGCAGGAAGCTATTTAAATGGTTGTTTGGAAGTTCTTGCGATCATGTCAAAATATCTTAAAATACAATCAGCTCTTATTCTACGAATAGGTTAACTATTGGTCCTTAAAAGCTTATGCTCCTACTAAATAACCGTTTTAAAAAACTATATAAAAGACGGCAGTGATACACAGGTGAACAACTTAAATATTGAATCACATTCCGTTCACAAAGTAAGATTATGTTTAAACAGTGTTTATTGTGATTTATTTATACATGTACCATGATATCAGCTAAAATAAAAGCATTTAGGGCTTGTAATTTGTCACAAAATTATACAGAATGTATACCTTAGATTAATCACGAGATTATTCAAATGTGTTTTTAAATGTAATACAAGCTTATAAAAAAGAAAAAATGTCACCTGAAGTTTTAGTTTGCCAATGATAGCATCTGTGACATCATCAGGAATAGATGGACGGTAGAGGGCGTAATCCTTGGCGATAGAAGAACTCTCAAAGACTCGGTAAGACATGATGATGGCTTCTTGGAGGTGCTCAGTATACATGGGGCTTCGATATGATTCTTGAGAATATTAATTAAATTACTGAATTGAGTAGATTTATTGAAATATTGATAATTGAAATACATTAGAGTATACTAATCGTTAAGTATCAATTAAAATACTAAACAATATCAAATTGTTTAATAATGTACAGATTTAGAACGTCTAAGCCTGTCGAAGGAAATCACATGATCCCAAAGGCTCAAGCCTATCTGCACTAGTTTGGCCAGGAGGGATTAGACCTCCCTGCGTGGTCACTGTCATGTGGTTTTCTCATCGAATCAGCTCTCAATTAACATAAGAAAATGGGACTATGGGGCAGCGGTACCACGTAGGCATTGTTTGCTATAGAGAGGAAGCAAATAGCTACAAGCAGGGGCGTACGCAGGGGGGGGGGGGGGGTTGGGGGTTCAAAAAAAATGTCAAATTTTTAAATTTCGAGACCAAAAAAAAAAAAAAAGTGTCCGCTTACCCCCCCCCCCCCCCCCCCCCCCCCCCCCCCACACTGAGCGACTTTTCGGTTGGCTGAGTCGTTGCGATTTTTTTTTGGACTACCAAAAAAAAAAAAAGTATCCGCTTACCCCCCCCCCCCCCCCCTGCGTACGCCCCTGGCTACAAGTAGTGTAGTCCCGCTTTAAGACAAACTAACACGTTGCCCATCACCTATTTACATGTGCGGGCATTGCAATGACGTATTATGTAAACCATGCATGATCTCTAAAACCGGAAGTTGCTCTTGAATTGATTTCTGGAAAGTCAATATGATTGTGGTTTTATTCCTCTTCAACAGAAAGAACGAATGGTATGCTATTACAGAAAATACTTTTTTAATAACAGTACATTGCATCATCTTGTTTGCCTCATATTTGCATGGCTACTGTATACAATTTTAATATTGTTTTCCGCGTTGTTGCCTCAATATTTGCATGGCTCATATTTGCGTGGCTACTGTATGGAATTTTATATTTTAAAAGACTTACACTTTTCCCGCTGGAAAACGAAAAAAAAGAAGACTTAACTTGACCTGGTTTATATCGTTTATAATGGACGGTAAAAGGGGCGTAGCCAATGTTATATATTTTGCTTACTGAGTCTTTTTTGGATATAAAATAATAACTTATAAACCTTAATCGTAACTTACCAGAATGATGCTGCCCTGCTCAACGCTGATGTTATCGTAGTACGCTATTAGCATCATTAGTCTATATATACTCCAGATTACCTAATACTTTTGGGAATCAGAACGTAACGAAATTCTTTTTGTTCGATCAGATGTTTGGTAATCCTAATTCTCACATGTCAAAGTCCATTATGCGTGTTTCTGGGGACAGACTAGGTTCGTGCAAAGACCTTGTACAGAGTGTAAACATAGTATATAGCGCTCAAAGTCCGATTATAAAGGAAGAAAGCCAACGGAACTGTCAGATAAAAAGCTCAGACTACCATAGTACCAAATAATCACGTGAAAACTTAATTTTCTATTAGAAAGAGGGGTATAGGGGTATACACGAAAGAAGAATAAAAGAGGAAGGGGTCACGTAGACCATAGGCGCCGGAAGTGGGGGGGGGGAGCATTTTTGCCCCCCCCAAAAAAAAACTAAAAAAACAAACAAAAAAAACAAAAAAAAACGCAGTAAAGGAGTAAAGATGGTTTGTATTTTTAACCCAAAAGAACATAACAATAATAAAAACCTGAATTAAATGTCGTATAAAAACTCCATTCAGAGAAAAGGAAAGTTAAGAAGAATTAAATTTCCTAAACATTGCGCATGCTACCTATATTTATCAATGGAGGTTTTTATAATAGCGATACGCGCATATCGTGGGCATAATTGTGAGAGAATGGGAAAGCGTGTCTGTTTTTTGTTATAGGGGTGAGAAGCTCATGAGCCCCTGAACGCTGGCGTACTGATGGGGGTATTTTATATTCGATACCAGTGATTTACAAATGTTGCTGAAATGACATGATTTCCGGTATTTTTTCTAAAAAAAAATTGTAAGTCATACCTTTTTATGCGTTTGTTGGAAAATTAGAAATTCCCAAATTTACAGTCGGGCGGCAAATATGCTTATTTAGAAGCCTTTATGTCAGGGTCTGCAGAACGGCCGGGCTCGGGGGCTCAAAAATAAGGTATCAAAATATGCTCATCTGAGCGTAATTAAATGCCTAAAACCCCTGAGCTTCTGGGGGCTCAGCCCCTGGACCCCACGCCAATTTACGCTCTACCTGATCGTTCATAATCCACTTTGAAAAACGTTCCGCTGGGCCTGCATGTAACGTGTAAGAGAGGTGGTGATGCAGATTTTTCTTTTCGTCACTGCCCCTGGTAGGTGAGCCCCTTGGAATTTTTGTCTCCCCCCCTCCCCCAATCCCAAACTGCTTCCGGCGCGCCTGACGTAGGTTCTGTTAGTTAAATTATTTAAGAAATAGAAAAGTACACTCTAAGTTGGTATTTAAAAAAACCTGAGAATGTGATAGCACCAATAAGTGTTACCATTTACCGAAATGTTCTTCAGCGTTACTTTGCAAAACCCTCACGAATTCTGTATCAGTACTGAATAGTTGCATTTAAATTCAGAATGAAATAAGAGACTGCGCTCAAAGCAATATCATTTAATTATGGGAGCACCTTGGTTTGTCGATGAAAGCCCCTGACTCTTCTACGAGAGGTTCCGGGTTCGAACCTCACTTGGTGCTTCCATCCTTGGACAAGGTATTTTGTCCAAGGCACAATAGTTCCTTTCTAGCCAGGTGTATCGAAATGGACACATGACGATGGTGCATTAAATGACCAGCAGAGAGAGAGAGTAATGCTAATGTGGCTTTCCCGGGTAAAAAAAAAAGTTACGATGAAATGGCGTGATTAATATTACTCATTATATCTACTGGTGCCTGCTTCGAGCTATAAGGCCCCCAAAAAGGAAGCGGGCGGGGACGCTAAACATGTATATTTTTTAATGGTCTAATGAAACATGGTGTAACTACGAGAGGGCTCATGACCTGCACACCCATCCCACCCCGCATTAAAGAGAAGGAAGAGATGGAAACAAACAAGGAAATAAACAGGAATTGAGAAGGTCATATACACTGCAGCTCTCCTGATTCACACGTTATTAATTCATTACAAAGAAATGTAAAATACAGAGGAAGACTTATACCTCCATTGATTAGACCAAAGATACATCACTATAAACCTATACGACTATAGGGGTGATGTAAATATCCTTCAAATACTGAGAAAAAAAAACTTGTCTCAAACTGAACCGAGGAAATTATGATAAGTTGTCAGTCTGTGTCAGTTTTTAATTTGTTCTTGTTCTGATTTTGGGTGGTATTTTACTGCATATTAATATGATGATCCGAAACTGTTGATTTTTATTTCAATAACTTTATTTGATTTTACATAATAAGCCGCGGGTACACAAACGTTCAGCTGAAAGAGAACACAGATCCCCAAAACATAATTGTTATTTGGTTCTGTCTTTTGGGATGCAATGTTCAACCAGGGGCAACATGGGACCGATTTGTTTAGATCCAGATCAATATTTACTATTGCTTTAAATATCGATAAAAAAAAACTTTCTAGTCTTGATTATGTAATAGACAAGGTCATAGAACTCGCGGGGGTGGGCCGGTAGAGATTCGCAGAATTTATCGATTTACATAATATTCCCTCCTAAAGATAAGGAATCAATCGACTTGCCATTTGCGTTTTTAAGTCTGAAGTGCTATGCATTATATATCAATTAGCTATATTCACAGACACCTTGACCAAACTATAGGGAGCAATGTTATCGAAGCCAAGTTTCATAGCTAGCTCCTGTATGCGAAGTATGCCCTATGTGGAATATTGCCCTCTATCGTCAGTCCATCAAATAGTATTTTAGTCTTCTTGTACATCTAATTTGTTATTAATTTGTTTTTGTTTTTAGATAGGTAGATTATCATTATCATTTATAAATATTATTACCATCATAGTTATAGTACGTCCACACACTCAATGGTGGAAAACGAAAGCCAAGTTGACGACCAAGAGTCTTCGGGATCAATAGCACATAACAAGCGTTAAGGCAGCTCACGAGATCGACGTTCGTCTCATGGGCTTTCGAAATATAATCTGAGGGTAAACGCTACCGACGGACCGTCGAGACCAACAGCCAATGTTGGTCTCGTGGGCCTTCTGAGATTTTGTCTCAACCTTATTCGGGCTGTCTACTGTGATGTTCCGAAACGTAAATTTCATTTGTTAATATCCCCAAGGATTTTACGTGCGGCATCACTTTAACTTATTTAAATATAGATCATAATTTCCCGTTATATCTTCCTCAAAATGAATGAGAAACGGTGGCCCGAATTCACAAAGGAGGCTTGTCGACAGACCTAGGTTTCGGTGCGTCATATATGACGCGTTTTTACGCTTTTCAGACCAAGGTTTGTCTGGACCTTGGTCTGAAACGCATCGAAACGCGTCATATGAACCTAGGTTTGTCGACAAACCTCGGGCCAATATGCCTCATATTAATAAAAATCTTTATTCTGCTGCCCTGCTGCACAGAAACAAGTTCGCCTTCGTCCAAACTTGGCGTGTACTTGGTTATAAATACACTCTTCAATGATTAACTGCGACCGATTCTAACGGAATCTCATATCTATTGTTGAGCTAGTGTAAATAAACCAATTGAAATCGACGTTACGGGATCGATAGGTCGTTGCATCCATGTGCTGCAATTGACAAAGCTCACTGTTAGCAGAGCTGCTCTTTGTCTGCGGTGAAGACAATGCAATCGTCTGGTACCTTGTCGAGATGTTTTGAAACAGTCCAGAGAACTTGGCGGGACTACTCCTGAGGCATCGCATGCACTCATCCCACTAAAACATCATCTGTCTTCCTCGCTACCTGTACTGCATCTCTTTAAAGGCTGTACAGCCCTTCGGAGATTACCAAAACAAGAAGACGAAGAAAAACTTGTGAACAGTAGCCACGATAGTTGCGGTCCGGACTTCAAGGGTTGCCGCTGATTTTGTTGTTTTGCCGTTGATGACTCATCTCATTTGCCATCATGAACTGTCAGAACTGGCAGCAGCGCCATGATTTAGGCTGTCATCGACCACGGTCGATGTCGACACCGTACCCTCATTTCTGTCCACCCATTGACGATCCAGCTGACTTTTCATTTAAGATACTCGTCATAGGAGATACGTGTGTCGGCAAGACTAGTTTCATCAATATGTTCTGTGAACACGTTTTTAAAGAAAATGGCACAGGAACGATAGGTCAGTATACCACTTTTTTAATTTCATCATTTTAGATCGTCTCGTACAAAATTACTACAATTAGGCCTAAACAAAAATTGTATTGCCCTTTTTGAAAAGCCGACCGCAGATTTCAATATTTTGGGGTCGTCGCAAAGGGCAGTACAACATCCTTTTTTTAGGCCCAATTGGGGGGGGGGGGATAAGCCCATGTAAAAGTGCCGATATATAGATTGACAAGGAAAATAATGCACGCACACATGTGCTGACACGTCCAAAACTGCATATTGCTGTTAGATTATAATGCTCATTATTGCACTTTTCAAAACTGGGAAAGCAACCCCCTTTCTTGTTCATGCTTGCAATTTCACTGTAGTGTGTAGTTTGTTGCGTTTGTTTTGTGTTTCGTTTTTTGTCCACCCCTCAGCATCTACTCATTACCGAGTTGTTAAAATGTGTACCTGGTAGGGAGTGATTCATTGAATGCTCCAGCACCGAAATTGGTAGCAATACCAGAACCGGGGTAATGTTGGAGCGCCTTGAGCACATTGCATGATGCTTATGAGCACTATTTAAATTTTTAAAAAATCCAATACTGGATATCGAAAGAAAGACTTCGTTTCAGCGCATATCAAGTTTCCAAAATTGGCTGAGCAAGAGAGTTTAATGATTCAACTGATTATTGTGATCATGCACTTGAACATGATTCTTAATTCATGTCCCGTATCTAATCTTCTTCTAATTTGATTAGGAATGGACCTAAAAAAGAACATCATCAATGTTGATGGAAAGAAAATCAGGTTACTTGTATGGTAAGTGAATTTAAAATACTATCTAACTTTTGAAATATCATCTTTAATATCATTTGTATAAAGTGATAGAAAGATTTTTCTTCTTCGATTTTAATCTATTGATACATGACAGTATCTAGTTTGTAAGACAGTTAGATGTTAGTGTCTTCGTACATAGCGTAACATGTTATTTTCGAAAGTTTGTATCGAATTAATATGGTGTAATTATCAGAATAAACAATGCAATTAATCAGTACATAGACGGGTGCACTACAGTGACTACACTGTAACAAAAATAATATTGAAACTAACCCTCCTGTCAAATCAAGGAGCTTAGATGGGCAGGGGCAAAGGGCGTAGGGGTTGATAAGAAAATAACGGCAGCGGCAACAAAAACAAAAAAGAAAAAGATAGAGAGAGAGAGAGGGCCCCAAAAATTATCTCAAATATTGACCCAAGAATCTGTTATTATTTGCCGACAGGGTATGGGTACCTCCATCTTGCGATTTCGACATGTTCAGATTGAAATCCCGAAGTACAATGTTTGAACAGGACAAAATAATTGCTGTATTGCAATCACGTGTTAAGACACGCGATATGAGGGCGAGGTAATTCTAACGATAAAGGGCACGATTCTTGCATACATGTGTATTGTGTGTTTACGTGTATGTGGAATTTATAGAATATGGTGCAAGCTCCTGTTTTACATAATACATGTACACTCATTTCAAACTAATTCACGAAAACATATTTGCTGGCATCCTTTTTTCTTAAAATTCGCGCACTCAGTATTAAACTGTGGTGCCCTTTTGGGGTTTTGAATGAAATTTGCCATCACTTGACAAAGGGTTATAGCCAGGCCCGTAGCCAGAGTTTGATGTTTGGGGGGCACATACATGTAATTGATCGACGTCCTGGGGAGGGGTCTAAAAAAGTTCAACCGATCTTGGAAATTGGGGGGGGGGGGCACTTGCCCCTCGTGGCTACGTGCCTGGTTATAGCCGAACAGTCGTATATTAGCTTTCTCTAACAATTTCGTTTCATTAGTTATTGCTTTCTTTTCGAATTTCCATTAACAGACTCAGGTCTATCTTTAAGTATATATACGTATTTATGTGTGTATGTACGTATGTTTGTGGAAGTTACAGCATTTGATTGTTATTCTTTATAAAATACAAAAACTCATAAAGTTGAGTTTCAAAATGTTTTAAGCAATTGTTTTCCCTTTCAAAGTAAATTTATACAGATGGGATGAGTGTTCCATCTCAGATCACCTTACTTAAAGTGATGAAATTTGAATAATTTCGACCTTAAAATAAACCATGTCATCGTTGAGGAGTATTCTTAATGGAAACCTCACCCCAACGAATAAGTGTAGGTTCACTGAAATATGAGATTTATTAATCGCTGCCTATTGATGTACACTATTCCTTACGAAAATGTACAAGAGAAATAAAATGAAGATATTCTTGGCATGATATCAAGTAAATGGCGACGCCCGTGTCGTGCTGAAAATCTGTAATTCATGCTAAGAACATCATGCTTTACACCTCTTTCATACACTCTGGTGGGAAATCTTGTAGATGAATTGGAAACAAAAATGCAATGAACGTATCAAAATAACTGAAGATATAATATATATATATATATATATATATATATATATATATATATATATATATTTTTTTTATTAATTTTTTTTTTATTAATTTTTTTTTTTTTAATTTTATTTATTTATTTATTTATTTTATTTTTTTTTTTTTGGGGGGGGGTTCCTTTATATTAATTGCAAAGAGGGAAGTAAATAATCCAGAGCCGGCTTCAAAACGTCGTGATATTAAGATATTTTTAAAATTGACAAAATTATAACATTAAAATTAAACTATGATGAAAATTCCAAAAAAATTCATTATCACATGTACATGTTCATGTGGGAAAAATACATTCCCGTATGATATAAACTCATGCAGCTTTAATACATCACGTGGGTTTGTTCATTTTTGGGTTTATGGCGGGGTATTTTACCGACATCGCTACCACTGCTGGGCAGCATATGGCAGTAGACGTAAATCTAAGGTAATGTCAGTAGAATACAATGCCTTCAAAGTAGAAGGAGATTTTTATATCATTAATTTTCTTCATATCTCAACAAACTTTACAGGGACACAGCAGGTCAAGAAAGATTTCGAACTCTTACAACAGCGTACTATCGAGGCGCCATGGTGAGTCTCCGTCTTATTTATTAGTTTTTTATTTTTTATTTTGTTATTTGATTATTATAATTTGCTATTTATTTGAAAAAATAACCTTATAACATATATGTATAATATAATGTATTTGATAATACATAATAATGATGTTTGTAGATATGAAATAATTTAAGTGATTTATTGTTGATGTTAATAATTAAATGTAGCTGGGATTCGTAACTAAAATTCTTATTTACTTTTGTTGACTATATACCTTTGCTCGCATAAATACTCTGTTTGACAAGAAACGTCTCTTTTTTTTTCCTTTTCCCTTATCAAGAATCAATAATGATAATAATAATAATAATAATAATAATAATAATAATAATAATGATACTTCGATAAAATACCAATTTAAAATTTTAAACTGTGTGTGAAGCTATATCTACTTTAGGTTTCTTTTTCTGTCGTGGTAATACTTGAACGTATACGATTTTTTAAAAAGTATGTTTTAATGTATATTTTGATGAAAAGTAATCGTTCAAAATTGACTCATGACGCTGTAAGTGCCGATTAACTTATGTTTAATGGAATATTCAATATATTTTAAACTAATTCTTTCAAAGAGTCATAATTTTAAAATGCTGAAATGTAGTTTCATTATGATACTTTATTTTCATCTAATATCAGGGCATCATCATTCTCTATGATGTGACGAGAGAGACTTCATTTGATCATGTGACTAGTTGGCTTGACGATATTGCCCGTGTAAGTATCTTGAACCCCCACCCTCTCCATCTTTCGATCTCCTCCTATCTATATCTTTGTTTATTTCTCCTTTTTATTCTCCGTCTTTCTTTTTTTCTCTCTCTCTCTCTTTCTCTTCTACTATTTTTGGAGTAAAAAACTTCTTTTCCATTCTTTTGGTGGGAATGGCGGGACTTAATCTTTAAAAAAAATGTGACGTAATGGACAGAGAATATGATCCTATCACTATGAATATGACTGACACAGAAAGCGGACAAAATATACAGTTCCTCAGGTAGGCAAAGGAACATCCCTTCACTGCTATTATGTACAAATGTGTAGAACAAGTGTCACATGCATATTCACCTTTTTACATAATAACAGTGAAGGGATGTTCCTTTGTCTAACTGAGGAACTGTATATTTTGTCCGCTTTCTTTGTCAGTCATGTTCATATGGTCCATGCTATAGTGGTATAGGTGTTTATCGTATAACCTTCTGTGTCAGCTCGAGATCTGAGTAAACAGAGTCAAGAAAGACATGGCTGAAGTAGAAGCTCTTTTGCACGTGATCGTGATTCATATTTACTTATCAGAACGAAACTCGAATGTAAATATTCGTTGAAGAGCCCACTTTCCGAATTATCCGCATATTCGGGCAGCGAGATGCCCTAATTATGTCATTTGTATATCTTATCTTGTGTAGTTTAATTGGAAAACCATATCTTGATAATAATATCTGCTCTTGCGAAAAATTGAAAAGTTGAATCCAGGCAGGAGACGTCAACCCCCCCCCCCCCCTTAGGTAGAAAAAACAACCTACGCCAATGTTTCTTAGCAGTAAAGTGAAATTGTTCGCTACATACACTGTTGCTCATGAAGTAGGAATAATTTTTCTTACATCTTTTCATGAAGTGATTGTCACAATATTATTTTTTTATTCTTGCCACAAAAAGTTTATATCTTCTCAGAACTTTATCGATCAACATCTACGACACTTTAAATTGATCAGTAAAGTTATGAGAAGATACAAACTTTATCAAGAGTAAATGATATTGTCTTTAAATAATCATTTCATGAAAACGGATAAGGAAACATTATTCCATCTGTATGGGCAACAGAGTGTATATATATATATATATATATGCAAGCTTAAAGTGCTCTAAGTAAACATTGACTTTGGATTACCAAAGAGACATGAAAGCTTTTCTGAGAAACAGTTTAATGCTGTTTGAACAACTGTTTGCCACTGACTTGCACTGGCATGAATTTGCTTCCATTTCAATGTGCAAACTTTTGATAACATTGTTAAAGGGAAAAGCTGAATAGGCCTCGGACTCAAAACAAAATCAATGATTTAGCTCATGCTAGATCAACTTCAGTGCCTAGCTAAGAAAAATCGAGTAAAGAACAAGAATACATGATGCTTATTCTACGTCGCTCGGTGCTACAGTGTATATCGGGTCAGCTTCAGCCAAGCGTGTGGCAGTCAAGCGCACGTGCTCTATACATGGCCAAGCTATTACTGCCATTTTCTTAAACAGTGAAATACGCCTTACCCGAGAATCACTTCCCATGCTACTTATATCTCGATCTAGATTGATGAATGTTTCGATTACCGATATAGTCTACTTAATATAGAAATCAAAATGACTTCAGCATGTTTCACAACTCGCAAGGCATAATATAGGCTATTAATAGCGGGTGTAAGTTGTAGTTGTCTCACTTGCACATGTGTAACAGGCTATGATGCTGCACGTGGTGATACTATTTATATGGATGAATATTATGAATTGTAAAATCATTTTTATCGTCTATGTTTGTCTCCACTGTTACCTCTTTATTCTTCATATTTTCTGTTATTGTTATAGTCACGTGAACAGACGTTCTCCCATTAATGTTCAATAAAAGAGAAACTCTTTCGGCCAGAAATATATCAAAATTATTTTTGTTTTACACTTTATACTTTCCAAGTGTTTGTATAAGCATATTAATTGGCTTATTTCTTGTCTCTATATGCTCTCAACTGAATACAAATATTATTTTCAAACGGTAGAAACTACCCCTGTTTACTTATTCATGAGTCATTGAACAAATATGTTATTATATTACCCTGACAAAAGTGTTGTTCAGTTCTGCAAATCACCTTAAGATAACAAAAATTAAGAATAAGAGTATTGAGTGGCATTTTAGAAACAAAGGTTAAGTGTTATTTGTTGGTTATACAGATAATACCAGACATGTTTCTGACATAAGTACGGTGAGCATATAATTTACGACGAGTATCTCATGAAATAGGCCTATCCATAGTCACGTACCTGGTATAAGGGCATTGTAGTGTACGGTGATAGATAAATCAAGATAAGCTCATCAAAATAGCGAGTTCATTGCATTTAAACGATAAACTGAGGTTAACAATGGGTTAAATAATCACTTTAAATTCTTATAAATGGAATGAGATAAATGGGAAAATATGTATAGGCCTATTGTATCTTGGCACAGTACATATGTATACAACTGTATAATAATGCGACCGTTTCTAGTATTTTCTTCAAGTATATTAAAAAGGTTACAGAGGTGTCAGTAAATTGTCAAAATCAAAAATATTTATACAGGATAAAAAAGAAACAATCGAAACAGCAAAGCTATTAAATGCAGGGATGCAATGTTCATATAACATACCAAATATCACTACAAAAATACACAATGTTATTACTTGCAGTTATACCAAGAAGTTACAATCTGTTCTGTTATCCCCCTCTTCAAAATATAAGAATGGTATTTTGACAATAAATTGTTTATTATTTCATGTTTTCCAGAATGTTTCTCCCGACATATGCAAAGTCCTGGTTGGAAACAAGAGCGACTTCACCAGAGCAAGAAGAGTGCCGAGCAAACGAGCAATAACGGTAAGAATTCACTTCATCCGTAAAAGAAAGACAAAGAGGTGATGATACCGTTTCATGTCGTCTCACTATATTTGAGTTTGAATTTAGACATATCATTTCTGGGGAAAATGCGAGTGGTCAGCAATTAAAAGACCAGAATGATATTTTTGAAGGACGCGGTTAAACTATAGTAATACATAATGCTTCAAGGTGATGAGCACTGGCAAAGTGCCATCGAATTTGATATTGCATCACTTGTTATATCTTGGAATGGTGGATATTAGCTTAATGACGATGGTTTCAAAACCCTAAGGCTAAGAGAATGAAAATATTTGCCTTCAAGCTTCCCAGTGACGTCATAGCAAGAAATCAATAAACGTCGTAACTATTACCGACGTTAATATTGCGAGCTAGGTTTTTTTAAATAATGGGAGGGTAAGGTTTGCTCAGATTATTTTCTACAACCTCACTGCAAAACCCTCAAATTGGTTTGTATTGACAAAGAACTGTAATCAGTGTGGGATGTAGTATATTTGAACTGTGGCAGTTAATTCATTCGGGTACAGCCCCAGAGACCGAATGCCCTTGAGATTAAAAATGTCAGTCTCGCGTGCCTTCAAAATGTATGACTTTTCTGAGGAATCACGAGGTCGACATCGGTCGGTCTTATGAGTCGTCAGTCTCGTGAAATGTCGCTATACTGAGACGTCCAGTTCATTTCAGAAACATTTGTATTTGGATATAATAATTATAAAAAACATCTTTATATAATATATTTTACTTCATATTCTTAGTTTTGAAGGTGGTATGAACGATAAAGTGCATTTCAAATATCAATACCATCCTACGATTGCTGGTTGCTTATATTCCTTGACTTCTTCTTCTTAATTTACAGTTATCAGAAGCATTTAACTTTCCTTACATCGAGGCGAGTGCGAAGACCGGTGAAAATGTTGAGAACGTCTTCGAGACTCTTACAAGACAGATGCTTGATAGGTACAACAAAAAGGTATGCCAAGATCACTAAAGTGGACCTGTCTAGGCATGTATTTATCAATACAGCGAGAAACAATATGTTAACATAGTAAATACTTGGTTTAATTCCTCCTTGGAATTAGAAGGCTATTAAAACAGGTTTTCCTTTAAATGGTGTCTAAAATCAAGATGTGACATTTCATATTTAAATGATTTTATCATATCAATAGCATAATACAGCTGTGACTATAAGTCTTTGAAAGTGTACTTTTTTTAGTTGATAGAGTTGGAAGAGAACGACGTGATTGATTCAGTTTTCCGAACAGAATTAAAAGCAGATTTATGAAGAATTCGTATTTTCACCTCATTCATTATTCCCAGTTTAATCAGAATTTTTTAATATTCACTTTCCTCTTCAGATGAATACAAACCGACCTCTTATAGCACGCCCAACGACAACAGAGAAAATTGAACTACTTGCCAAGAAAAAGAGCACATTTTCTGTATGCTCCTGCTGAAAGCAGATATGAGTTGTGTTTTGAAAGAATTCAAAAACTTGCTGATCTTCGCAGATACAGGTCGATTGAGCCTGTCTCTTGAAAGCTGGTAGATTGAACAGTATTAAAGACTTTTCGCTGAATGATCAAACTTCTTTGAAAGACAAAGAGGTGGATGGAAACAGTTTGCGAACGTGACAATGTTTTCTTTCTTTCGGAACCTGCATGTACACGCGTGTGGTCCTTCTATAATATTGTGAAAATAACTAAGTGAATTAACGCCAAGGGCCAGATTCTCGAATGTCTAACATCAAAGAGGACTGCTGTATGGCCGAGATGTTAGTATCTACACATTCGAATTACCATCTTCATTACTAGAAATCATCTAAGGACCAGCTATAGTGAGCGAAAGATATCTGTATCGTCATCAGCATGGCCTAGGTGCCACTTCATAACCCAGTTCTCTTCACTCGCTGCAGCTCTATGACGTCTTACACGACGTCACTCAAAGCTTTTTTTTCACTTTATAACACTGGCGTACTTTTTGCTGTTAAACTCAGAAGACAAAGTTCTACTTATAGCTCAATATTATATTTTAGAATGTAAATGAAGCAAATGTGTTATAAAAAAGATGAGATAAATCTAGTTTCTTACGACGAGCAATTACGTGACTAAAAGGCAAATTATTTTCTCCGTGATATTGATACAACTCACTTAAGTGCCTTTGTTGCCTTCGTTTAATTGCAATATTTATTGGCATCCTTCAAAAGGACCCAGTAAAGTTTTAAATTAAGAAAGAAATATTTTTCCAAATTCCAGTGTATTTTATTTCACTATTACTATCAAATAGACATCTTGTGGTATCTTTTACGAGTTCAAGTTAATATCAAGATAATAAAATGTTGGGTTTCCGGTATTAAAATGCATGGATGTTTATTTTGTACAGTCACTATCAGATAATTTCATTTTGAAATGAAACTGTCGTCATCAAGGTTTTCACCCTCGAGTATTATTATTTAATATTTCTTTTCTTTTTCTGTTTATGTGCATGTGCAATAAAATGTTTCAGTAGAAGGTAGTAGCAAGTATGTAGCATCGATACGTTAATACGTGAATTGATGGATATATTTTAATTTAGGTAAATGGCAAACTAAATCGGAGCCAAATATTACAGAATATAAATAACTGATTGTTTTATACTTAAAAAGTCGTTTTGAATTATCCGTAGTGACTAATCGAAAGTACTCCTTGAGTTAAGATCATGACGCAAAGTGAATTTGTACAGAATTCAAATCGAAACCGTCCAAAAATATACAAATAAAATGATTCCTGCCAAACGATTTTGATATAAAAATACATACATTACACTTCTGTTATAAATGAAAGAGTAAGAAATATTTCGATAAATCAAGCCAGTCGATCCGAAATACATACACGTAATTGGAGTCTCATATAATTATAAAGGTGCAAATAAATGTTGTCAGTGAAAAACTTTTTTTTCTGGCAAAAATCGTTTAACTTTCCCTGGATTTGCTGGTCTAAAACTCTCTAAATGCATAAAAGGAATTCGGAATAGTTTTGAGCTACCATTATCAGAACTCAAGATTTGATCATGGACTACAAATAGACGAAATACTATATTCCTCACAATCTTTGTTATGCTCACTGGCTTATTCAAATACAAATCACGCGATCTACTTTATTATGCGTGCCATAATCTGTTTTCAGTGGAGTTACCATTCAGCTTTAATAATCCATAGCAGGCCTAACCTTCTTTAAAACAAAGTTTATGATGGCTCTCGAGGAAATGACTCATTTGGCAGCATTCATAAGAAGTATAGAAGTATCTTAAAGCAAACACTGCGCTTGATATTACAATTGTTATGTTTATTTTCTACCTTTTGCACCAATTTTGTTCATTTGAATGTAATTTTTATATTTTGTAAAACTGTTAACTTTTGTATATAGACTTTTGTTCACGGCCCTGGTAAGAACAATTTTACATGTTTTAGTGCGAAGTATGACGTTTGACGTCGTTGAACAAAGCATATATGCAAATAAGTTATAATAGAATGTATCAAAGCAATTTGTTTTATGTCTTAAACGAAGCGCTATATTTGATAGAAAATTACACGTGATATAAGATACAAGTATCTTCAAATGACCGTAGAAAAATATCTTCATTTTGCAATGCTTCCTTAACGGTAGAATGAATTTCAACATTTCGAAAACGAAAATGTAGCCTCCTTGTATCAGTATCAAGTATTGAAAGGGCTGTGTCTCCGCACTTGAATTAAAATAGAACCATGTCCTATATTTGTACTCTCACTCTTGCAAACAAACATTATATAAAGACATGAGAGATAACTTTTCAAGAGTTGCTTAGGAAGTGGCAATCGAAAATCTCTTTCACTACTTCAACTGTTTAATTGCGCAACCGTGTTAAGATAATTCACGATGACTGAAAAAAGTGATTTTAAAAGTCGCTAAAACTAACAAAATATATAAGTATGTTTCTATATGCGCTTGGGAAGAAATAGAAGAGAAAATCAAAAAGAATTGAGGTTACTGAGTTCCTTTTTATTTGTTTAATTTTTGGAATAGGTGTGTTGCATTATAAGTAAGTGGGTGTATAGAGTATGGCAGCAAAACCAAAGTCCACGGTATATAAAAGCAACGTCTCCGCTTATATTAGTAGTTTTATTTTCAATTGATATCAAGCATTACTTCTTTCTATACAGATTGTAATATTTGAAGTCAAATATACGTCACATATTTAAGTATACAAAGGTAAGCCACATACTAATACACATTTCAAAGACTCGGTATGAATAAGAAGAATATTATGGTTGAGACAGACCAAGGATAAAGGATATTTGTTTTGTGGGATTGCGGTTTATTCCGGTGTACACACCCTTTATCTCTATCATTGGTATATGTGATATTCAAGAAATATAGTTGCCTTGCAACAAATAAACATACATTATCACTCATAACCGTGACGTGTGTCGATTGTATTTTATGACTCTCCTCTTGCGTCAACTCTGTAAGGTCAATTACATTACATTATTATCATGATCTTTCTTATTATTATCATCATCGTCTTCATCATCTTATCATCATTATCATAACTTATGATTGCAGGGCCCTCATGGAGAACAGTATTAATACTGATGAAGCTACCATGGGCACACAAACAAAACATTATTACTATCTTCATCTACATCATCATCATCATCATCTTCATCATCATCAACAACATCATCATCATCATCATCATCAATATCATCATCACAATCTTCCTCATCATCCTCCTCATCATCATTATGATTATTATTATTATCTTTTGGAAAGGATAATTCACATTTACTAAAACTGAGTTTTGTGTACCTTTACACATACGTATTAATCTTAGCATATATTCAATATCAAATTATAATTAATACTTGTGAGTGACACATACACCAATAATCAGAAACATTCATTCATTTCAAATTTATGTCTTTTTATTCACAATTTCTTGATAAAACGTTTCAAGATAGAGTTTCATTCACTGTCCTAAATTAATAGAGAATAGAGAATAGAAAATAATGCTAGTGTGTTTTCTTTCATAAAAGAAATCTAGCTCTTTACTTACGCTCAAATTTATACATTTTACATGGAATGTATTCAATGATATCAATACTTCAAAAACACATTCAAAATTTAGACAGTATCACAGCTAAAAACAAATTCTTGGATAATGCTTTGTAACTCATTCAATCATTTGCATAAAAAGGGAATCGTGCAAAATCGGGATATTTGCAACTATGAGATCTTTAAAACACGTGACCAGCCTCATGCCATTTAAATTACAGACCTTTCCAATCAATAATCCACATTTGACACCATACTAGCCAAATAGCACTAAGAAAAAAGCACACATTCAATCGGAAAATTGTATACAAGTCACTAATTTCAAATTAACCATAAACAAAATTATGCAGTAAATACATTAACCTTAGAGATAAACACCCGAGGCCATACACTAAGGTCTTCAATTCTAATCCCAGAAAACTATCCATATACATTACAGATGCGAAAACCCCTACCTAAACAGGCAGTGGTCAAGATGATAAGACTTTGATAATACACAAGGTCAGTGATTGCACTGATGAGAAAAAAAATGTCATCATATGTAATCGCCCCTCCCACCTACAAACCAATTGCTGGGTAGGACAAACATTATGGCTTGTCCTAATAATATGCAATTCTCATTCTGACTATTGAAATATAATTGTTCGCAACAGGTGAATTCAATAATTTAAAACAAGGCACTTAATAAAGATTTGTGCATTAAATTTGATTGCATTACGAAAATGGCATATTCACGAGGTGTTGGAAGTACCGGTCAGTTAGATTTACAACTTTGCACTTAATAGTGTTATTCATCATTTCTGACCAAATTAAATATCACACAGAGAGATGGTTTTTCATCCAAAATAAGACAATGGCGCTGTCGTGATCACTACGCTATTAGGGACTTTTAGATTTGCGTGGACTGATACGTGTGACGTCCATTCAAGGCAGTGCATTAAAAGGACGTCGATCGTAGCAATTCACGTTGTCGTTGTGCAAATCTAAAAGTCCCTATTATTGTCTAGCACAAATTTGTTGGGAACCAGTATCCTTGACAACTTGCTCAGTATGGCGGTACACTTGGGTACTTCATAGAGTCATCCACTTCACAGAATTCGCTGTTCTTTAAAAACAACAATGTCATTAAACGCAATCTTCTGATTAAAAAAATGACCACACTATTAAAATCGTAGCTAAACATTTACCTTCTGTAGTGTGCAAAAAATGCCACAGAAAAGAAACACGTCATAGTTTTGACCAACCCAAGTTCTTGTTGAGTGCAGGTGCCATTTTCCTAATATTCCCTTACAAATAAGCAGATGAACTAAAATGCTAATTTGTTTCACCTGTTTGATCTGTGGTACATTACCTACACTTCTGAAAACTTCCACTCAAGTATAACCTCCACATCCCCGGCAGTAGCCATCTACCCATCTAACCACTACACACCCATTTCCAACAACGGTTACAACCAACATATAGGACATCTTCCCAAAGACAATTAGCCCCTAGGAAAATTATCCAGATTACCCCTTCAACAATTACCTAAGGCCTTCTTGTCAAATGGACTAGTTGGGATGAGGGCTAATTGTCATAACGGGGGGGGGGGTGGGGAGCGTCTGAGTCCTCTGTTGGATGATCATCTGTTACCTATGTACACTACAAAAGTCAAAAAGCTGGTGAGGTCCTTCTTGGTTTACTCTATTCTGTTAGCATTACCATCTTTCTAAGAATCTGCATGGATTGCAAGGTCCACGGTTCGAGTCCCGCCACGGCACTAGTGTCCTTTTGCAAGGTATTAATCTACATTTGCCACACTCGACCCAGGTGAGGTAAATGGGTACCTGGTAGGATTATTCCTTGAAATGCACTGTGCGGTGAAAACGGCTGCTGGCGCTAAAGCTAGGGTAATAATTTCTAAAGCTCTTTGTAGTAGTAGTAGTAGTATTTATTTCCGTATAAAAACATAATAAAGCATGAGATACGGTGGTTGGCCACATTCAGCTTACCCGACATGGGGAAAGCTGGTCTTCCGTGGGGTTAAAAGCGCATAGAGACGTTGTATAATGTGATATGCGCTATACAAGAACCGAATATTATTATATCCTTAAGACAATTGTCATCATCAATATCACCATCATTACACAGAATTAACGGTTGGAACATCAAAATCTAAATCAATTGACTTCAACATAAGTAGGATTCCTCAGTGATATAAATATGTGACGTAGCTTTAACACAAAGGGATGGTGTGATTTATTCCCAAGGGTTGAAAGCTTGGACTGATGAGTCAATGATCCTGATTTTTACCCAGTTTCTGCTGCTGGTTAATGACAAGATATATCAAGTAACATAACTATACTAACAGACACAAACATGATAATGATCATCTACATTTATATCTCATCATGGTATTCCAGAGAGAAAATAAACGACAAACACTCCAAGTCTACCTTTGCTCTGTCTATTTATTGACCCAAATTGCTGCGACATGTTAATTACCATTTATATACCAAGTATAACTAAAATACCCTATCAAGAAGATGATAAGGGTGGGAGTTGAAAGTAACTCTTGCCCTGACATGTTTTCTACCTCTTCTTCTTTTTCTTTTCGTCTTCCTTCTTCTTGTTTTTATCCTCCTTCTTGTTCTTGTTCTTCTCCTTGTTCTCCTTTTTCTTCTCCTTCTTTTTGTTCTTATCCTTCTTCCTCTCCTTTATTTTGTTCTCCTCCTCCTTTTTATTCTTCTTCTTCTTCTACTTTTTGTTCTTTCTCTTCTTCTTCTTCTTCCTTTTCTTCTTCTTCTTCTCCTCATTCTACTTCTGCTTTTTTTTTTTCTTTTTTCTTAATTCTGTAGGTGGAATGTAAGACTGATAAATATAAATGCTGATCGTGTAAGCATTATTCAGTTGATTCTCAAAATTATAGTTATCTGTTTATTGTGATTGTTAAGTACTTGTGAAGGACAAGAAAATGCTATAAAGAAATCAATATCATACTATTTCGTTCCATTGTAAAGGTTATTTAAACATAGTTATAAAGATTCCCAGAAAAAAAGTAGCAGTGTTCAAATAGGGGCACTAAATATAGATCGATTTGGAGCTTGCACAGATTGCAAATAGATAACAATAACCATATTTAAATATGCTAAGGTCCCTCTTTGTGCAAGTATAGAAACAAACATTTCCAAAGAGTGGTCACTACGCCCTCCCACCCCCCCCCCACCCCCACTGAGCGAAATATCAGTCGGCACGATTTTCAGGCCCCCACCCCCCTCCTTCCTATTGGAAAATTTTGGATCCGAAACTGAATGATGCAATCCAATTTTAAAAGTCCCCCTTGAAAAATACCCTGCGTACGCAGCTGTATATATATATATATATATATATATATTTAAGAAATAATAGATTTTCTTGTATTTATATTTATATATATAAATAGGGGCAGAAATGGACTAAAAGATAAGGAACTGTGCAGAAATTGTAAGCATCCTCTCCTCCAATACCTCAAGTTATTAATCAATACATTTGCTTCTGATTTCATATCGTATCATTCTTGTTCTTTGGATATGGGCAACAGTTACCAGGGCAATCAAACAGTTGTCATAATGACCAGGGGTAAATAAAATGTTGTGTAATCATCTCCTAAGTGTCATATAGACTTTGACAGACGCATGTCCTTCCACGTGAGTAAGATATATAAAAGGTAATACTGTTTACTGTCCAGAATATATAGCCATTGTTTTAAGATTAAACGAGACTATAGATGGATGAAATGTATCAACCATTTCCATGGTCTTGGCAAATACTGGTCTGTTTGTTGGAAGCTGTATGTGTTTGTTTTAAGCAGTTAAGAGACACTTTATAGATTAACAAATGAGGTCTAGATGCAGGTCAAGTCAAAATATGCGAGTCTAAATATATCACATACAAATAACTACACCCTACTCAAGGATGTTCCAGTTCAAATAACTCTGCATTTATTTCTGCAATTAAATGAATACAAAATCTGCAAAAAAAATCTTGGGAGGCTTTATGTATTGGTGTTGAAGCATATTGAATGACACTCGACATTAACAAGGAGTTTGAGATGGTGGGTCAATTTATTAACATAAACTTAAACAAATAAAATGCAATTAACTGTATAATATTCAAGGTTGTTCCAGATCATATAACTCTAAAGGGGTAATTTTTATAATTCTTGCAATTAAATAAATACAAAATCTGCAAGGAAATTGTTGGAGGCTTTATGTTTTTGTGTTGAAGCATATTGAATGACACTCTACATTAACAATGAGGTCGAGATGGTGGGTCAATTTATTAACATAAACCTAAACATATCGAACGCAATTAACGGCACAATACTCAAGGCTGTTCCAGTTCATATGACTCTAAAGGGGGCATGTTTTTATTTCTTGCAATTAAATAAATACAAAATCTGCAAGGAAATTGTTGGAGGCTTTATGTTTTTTGTGCTGAAGCATATTGAATGACACTATACATTGACAATGAGGTTAAGATGCGGGTCAATTTATTAACATAAACCTAAACATATCAAACTCAATTAGCTGTACAATACTCAAGGTTGTTCCAGTTCAAATATTTCTAAGGGGGGGGGGGGGCATGTTTTTATTTCTTGCAATTGAAGAAATACAAAATCTGCACAAACTTTGTTGGAAGCTAAGAGACACACTAAATTAACAAATGAGGCTTAGATGCGGGTCAGTTATTAACATGAATCTTAATATCTCCCAGTGCAATTGACTATACCCTACTTAAGGGTGTATCAGGTCAATTTACTCTTAAAGAGGTCAACACTTTTTATTTCTTGCAATTAAATAAAAAGAAAACCTGCCAGATTCTAATATTCATTTGAGTATATTCATTTGAGTATATTCAGTACATAAGAGTGGTCCCTGCAATGTGGTGGAAATAGGTGCATACTCTGCTATTTATTGGCTCGTTACTTCTCTTCGTTTTAGTGAATTTCTTTTTCTTTTTTCCCCTTTTTTTTTTGTATGTACTTTATTGAACTCCAACCAATTATTTGTCAAATTACTGCCGTCCCAATTTTAATTGTGTACTTCTCTCTACTGTAAACATTTTCTGTCCCTGTCATTTTTTAAGTCCCCCATGCAGGAACAGCTACAGTGTATTCTTTACAAGCTCTGCTTTTCTACAGGTTCCTGCACATTTCACAGTTTGTACTTTTGTCTGGGTTTCCTTTAAATGATATTAGTTGTCAAACAATTGTGATGACATGTAACTTTGTAGTCTGATTACCTTGTTAATTATTATAATCATTTTTTTTTTAAATTATGAAACAATATGTCTTTTTATGTATATTTTGTTACCTGTATTATATTTGTGAATAATATGTGAAATGTGAAACCAATAAACTCAACTCAACTCAACTCAACTCAATGCATATATTGCAAGGACTATTCATAGTGCTGATGAATAAAACAAAGTTTTATTGACTACTTTGTCGGTACAAATGTCAGTTACAACCTTGCTACAAAGCAACAGTCTTCTAAACATACCATGGTGTACAAATCTACATCTAACGTAACAGATGAAGCATACTATTTGCACACTGATAAAGTTCAGTTGATTTTGTCTGAACCAATTTATCTGAACTAATTTTCAAGCTTATCTGCCATAGTTAACAGGAGGGATTAGAGCGCCCTGCAAGGTCACCGGACAGGTGGTTATCTCATCAACTCAGCTCTCAGTTAACATAAGAAAAAGAGGATCATGGGGGACCAATGGTCACCGATTAGGCATTGTTTGTTATGTAGAGGGCGCAAGTAGCTACAAGTAGTGCAGAGGGCCTTTAAGGAAGCAAACAAAACATGCTCCAGGGTTCTTCTCATCATCCAAGCTCTCTAACCCTCATTCAGACTACCAGAATTCATCGCTATACAAGACTCGTATAGCTATAAAGCAAGGTACTTTTTCTAGTCTGAATGTCATCTAACATAACTTTGTGAAGCAAAAACGCATTTTTGAGCATTGTTTCAAAAATCAGGGTCACTTTTCTAGTCTGAACACCAAATCATACAAAAATCATTTAACTGGGCGGGGCTTATTGTGGGCAGACATTGATGATTGGCTAGCTGTCATGTCATTTGACCCCTTCAAAACCTGTTTTTACTATGTTTCTTTATACAAGCTGTACTCCCCTTTCACTATACAATGAGTCTTTATATGATGTCTCTTTATACAAGATTCAAAGAGAACTCTTATAGTCTGGACAGGCAATTAGCTCCTGAAAGAGATTTTATCAGATAAACCTGTATCGTCCTAACGCGATGACCAAAGGTCACCTCAGAACGGTACCTTATCTGGCGGTGGTTTGAACGTTTGACAATTAGATAAAACATGCCCACTAGAGGCCACTAATTTTAAAATTAAGAAACCAAAACAATTAATATGAGATAAAACAATGCCTGGTGATAACCAGTATAGCAATTTTTGAAATACTTCTCACAATTATATATTTCGCTAGAAAACCAGTATTTGAAAAATATTTACCAAATACCACTGCAAACTAATGAAATTCATGTAATGCTTTTATAATCAGAATATGTCAATTAATTGAAGAGAACAGGTAGTACAAGAATTTTCACTTATATTTCAGATCACTCTGATATCGCTTTATTAATTCTAAGTTTAAAAAGTTTTTAGAAAACTAATTTGATTATCAAAATGAAAGGGAATGGCAGGTCTGTTCGAATTAACAACATCACCTTGAATCTTTTGGGAAATGGTTTCATTTAAATCAATGTACATGAATCCCAGGCCAGCTCTGGCATTAGTTTTTTTCACAGGTAACAGAACATAATCAGATAAAAAATGTTTCCGGGAAATGACATAAGATCCCTGTAAGCACACATAATATAATGTAATTTCGACATGTTATATAATCTGCTCTTATCTTCATCAAATGGTATGCTAACAGTCTGAATCTAATGACAGTTTAGATTTAATGTTTCTTCCTTATCTTTTATATTCTTTCTGATGCACATTAAAACATAATGTTTTACAAATGTGTTTTCACTAATATCTCAGATCACTCAGATCACCTAAACAATTCTAAGTTAAAAATATTTTGGAAAACTAATTTGATTATCAAAATGAAAGGAAATGAAAGGAAATGACAGGCCTGTTCGGATCAACAACATCACCTTGAATCAGTTGGGAAATGGTTTCATTTCATTCCATGTACATGAATAATGGCTGCATCCCAGGCCAGCTCTGCTGGGCTTTAGTACTTCCCAGATAACAAATGTTTCTGGGAAATGAGATAAGATCACTTACCACACATAATATAAAGTCGTTTTCACACACTATAAAACCCGCTCTTATCGGCATCATATGTGCTATGCTAACAGTCAGATATAGAAGTTAATGTAGCTCTACATACAATCTACTGACAAACACAAACACATACACAATGATGATCTTTGCATTACTGCCATGTCTTTTCAACAGTAATTTGTATACTTTTCAAACAGAATATTTCAGGAAAAGAGAGGAATGTAGGGTTTGAAATATTAGCTTGAAGGCTAAAAATAGGAATAATCCCTCCAAAATAGGAATGTTTAGCAGCTATGGCTTTCAATTGATGCCTATTTCAGAGAAGAAAGGTATACCTGTAAGAGCAGCTCTGCATGACAACATGAGAACAAACTATTTACTTTGCAAAAGAAACCATTTACTTTCTAAACATCCTTGGAATAATCATGACATGAAAGAATAGATAATTGAAAACCTTTCTTTCAAGATGGTGTACTTATTTCTCAGCAGTCATGTACGAGTCTATAACCTCACTCAATTTCATCACATTTTCAGCATAGCATTGACTGCATCTTGGGTGGCGGAAGCTATATCAGCTTAGCTTCCATAGAGATTGTCATCTCTGCTTCATAGGATGTAGCTCAACCCCATTCCTCATCAATTTCCCCACTCCAAGGCTTTCACAAACTCATCTTCTGTGAATGCAAGCATTTTGGCAGCTTCAATATGCATCTGAAAGATAGGGAAGATAGGGAAGAAAAATTAAATTTTGTGTAATAGATTATTGCCTACCCCTTTCAAATTTCCAAACAAAGCAAAGCAAATTAAATGGAAGTGAATTAAATGGTATCTGAGGTATTGAAGTGAGCTGTGTGTGCAGTCCACATTTGAAGGAATCAACAATGGTAACATGCTTATTGAGTGTAAAGAAAAAAGAGTAAAAAAAAAAATAATAATAGGTCCATTTATAGAGCGCAGCTTCTATATGAATATACTCTACTGCCCTTAACACAAAGTATAATATCATTAGTTTATTACCCCGGCTGTAGCCGAGCATAAGGCGCTACAGCATTCAAGGAATTTGTACCTACCAGATTTACTTCACCTGGGTGGAGAGTGGCAAATGTAAATTAATATGTTGCCAAAGGACATTAGTTCCACTATACTAATTTTGCACTTTCAAAACAAGCAGTTCTTCATCTGCCATAAGAATTATCTGTTAAAGGTTCCTTTCACACTATTGACATAGGAGGTACCATAACTCTTTTCAGACAGATTGTTAAACTGGATAAACTGTCCTTCTATTTGCTACTTCCTAGGCACTTTAGCAAAATGAAATGTCAGAAAAAGACATATCCGGAACGCAAAATGCATATTTGTTGAAAATAAAAACCTTATCGCATAGAGATGGTACCACATCATTAGAATGTGGAGCTGTGGAGACATGTACCATCTTGATTATGCTTAATATTAATTAAACTCTCATTTAAATTCACCAATATCATTGATCTATCACATGGATCTATTACACCTTTTGTGTTCTGGACATGTCTTTCATAACATTACTGATCAATCGACATTACTCTTATGTTATGTATACATAATTATTATTATTATTATATTATTTTTTGCATTGTATGATTGTTCATATGTACTGTCATTATTGTGATGTTTTACATTTAGCTAAGCCATATACATGTGCCTTATCCACTAGCCATGCAAGAATCAAGAAAGAGAATAGACAAAGGTAAATACTGAATCATTTTATTACACAATGATCGATGACTTCTGTTAAAACAAAGAAGAAAAAAAACTGACCTTCTGTCTCTTCAGTACATCAATGAGTTTAAGCTGCTTCTTGAAACCTGACATGAGTTCATTCTTCTGTTTCTCTAAACGCTTGTTTTCTGCAACCAGCTGTTCGACTCTCCTTCTTTCCCCCTCAGACGATTCCTGTTATGCCACACAAAAACAAGAACATTTATTTTTTATTTTGAATTTTTGATTACTGAGTTGCTACTACGTGGATACTACCTCTTTTCCCTCTTACCTCAAATGATTAATACTGGCAATACATAACACAGACTTGCTCACACAGGCAGTATTCTATTATAAAATAGCTTAAATGTTGTAAATTGATATGCAACAACATAATCATCTGTAATACTGATACGTCAGCCACACACTATAACATGTTAGTTCTCAATTTTGATGAAATGTTACAGCACCTTAAGATTTCATATATTACTATTAGGAGTTTATCTATGCTCAATTTTATGTTTTAACATTTTGCACAGGGGATATAAAGTCATCATATACTTTTTGAATATCAAGGCATGCCAGCTATAATCTAGAAATGCATATTTTTGTAAGAAAATGTCAGATATAACTTAGGGTAACATCAATGTTAAGAGTCTATCTATTCATAATTTATTGATGTTTCAACATTTTGCACAAATAATATAAAAACCTTCAAATCTTCAATCATGGCTTTAAACAAATGAAAAAACATAGAATTACAGTGTAGCAACAAATACAGACATACTGAATCTTTAGTATGTCTGTGTTTGTTGCTATTCTTCGATTTTGAAGTACAAAACTTACTTATTCTAGAAAATATTTGCTTACCCGTGAAGATGTCTTCATCCGTTGTAAATCTGACTTGTATTTCTCGACCTCCTCCATTGCTCGATTCAATCTGACTTCAGTGGCACTCTGACTTGTAGCAGATTTCTTCTGGTTTCTCTTGTGTTCATCTAACTCCTGCTCAAAATAAGCCCAAGAATGATAACGTTTACAGAAATATCTTTCAATTGTAAAACAGTGAGAAGCAGATGATTTTAGTACACTACAAGGAAAAGTTCTTGTTGCTTCTCTTAAAGCAACAAAATCACAGGCCTTTACAAGAGTCTAAGCCCTACACCTCGATTGGTTTAAATTATTCATAAGATGAGCTGCTCAAAGAAGGAGAAAGAGAGTACCTGAAAGAGAGAAATGGAAAGAGAGAATAGGGAAGACAAAGAGAGACTTCTGAGAGGGGAGAAGAGAAGAGTAAGAAAAAAAGAAAAGAAAAAAAAACTACCTCTGTTGACCACACCATTAAAAAACAAGGCATCTCAGTTGTACAGCACATGGTTCTGCAACAATTGAAATAACCTACACTGACCAAATCCCTTCCTTCAACCATGGACCAAAGACTAAACCCTACCTTCACCTGAACTACAAACCTAGCCTAAACCCTAACCTAATATCTTTGAGGTAATTACACTCTGGGCAAACGTCACTGGAGCAAGCGTCCTATCCCTTGCATCTTACCTTCCTGAGTCCAGTGAGTTGATTCTCCAACCCATCACTCTTCCTCTTGGTATCCTCTGCCAATCTCTTGTATTTATCAATCTGTGTTTGATGAGATGAGTTGGTTCTCTGTAGCCTTGCTCTCTCCTCTTCTGCTTCCTTCACCCGTACCTCAAGCTTACCCAACGATTCATCCTGTCATATAATAGAACAATGATCATATAATACTTTTTAAATGGTTGACGCTCATAAGGCTAATTGCCCTTTTTATTAACCCCACATTCCCATCATTTTTTTTTTGCTCTTTCCCTTTGTATTTTATGTGTAATCAATCTTTTATCTGTACCGTATATTATGTTTGTATGTTTAATAACGTTTTGTAATGGAGAATGAAACAAATAAATACAAAATAAAAAATATATATGTATTAACATGTCTTTACAACAATTGAAACTTCTCCAAGAAAGCCGAACGTTCAAGGTTATTGTCCTAATGGCGGACTGATGAATATTAATAAGTCAGAATGAACCAGGAGAGCTAAGGTATTTGTTTCCAGTTCATCGTGACTGTGCCATGGACCAGTGATGGCCTGGTGGTGAAGTCGCTGCCTGGCAATTAGTAGATGGCAGGTTCAGATCCTGCCTGTTCCAAGATTTTGTCTGACTCGTTTTCAATTCTAAGAGTGTCTTTACTAAAAGCTAAAAGTGTCTTTACAACAATAATATAAACACTTGTATGGCAGCATCTATCTCTCTAACTATATATGTCCCATAGCATATTTCTTTGGACACCTTCATATTTATCGAATGAGCTATAGATCCATCTCTCATCATCAAACAGAGATTTTTTCATTAAGTATGAGATGAGAGAGAATGCCAGAAAATCTATAGGGTCTATTTTTTTCAGTACAGGAAGGATTAAAATCTCTCCACCGATGTTTCATTGTCCCGGTAGCTCTATAAAAATTGACTTACATATAATAGTCATAATAGAATATTTCAAACATTATGGTACACAAACAGTGTGTGACACATGAGAGCAAATGAGGCATTCACAATTTTACAGAACTCCCATGATAACTCAAAAAGATACTTTGACATTGCGATGATATAGAACGCCACATTGATATAACATATATCAATTTATCAAAGATGAAAGATTGCAAGAGAAAGCACTCCATTTGTACTAAATATCTACTCTAAATAATACCTTCTGATTGCATTCATGAGCTAATCTGTCCAGTTCTTCTTGCATGACCCTGAGCTTGGCCTTCAGGAAACGAATGGTAGCCTCTGAAACGTGACAAGGAAGATAATGTGAAAAGGCATTTCATACATATCTCTTTCATCTTACAAGTTGTGGTAGTTTTCAAACTAGTAAGATACATTGATAGTAACTTGATCGCGACTATTTTTAAAAATCAAATAAAGGGCAATTTCAACACCCTATTGTAGGTCGACTAGGTCTGATATAAATCATGTTCGGATTACATAATACATAATTGTCATATTTGCACATTTCAATAGGTGATGTAAAAGGCTAAGAAACTTGCCTTAGGTTGATTTTTCTAAAGTAGTTGCTATCACATTTTTTTACACTTCAATTATACATTGAGACAACATGACTGACAGGGAACAGAAAAACAATTGCATTAACAATAATTAAGACATCCTAAATCAAACTTGAGCAGTTATTACATTTAAAGCACATGGTTTCACTTATATTGTGTGTATAAAATGTATCTTAAAGCACCATCCATAAAATCACTTTCCTAAGAATTATATAATAAAAGCATAGCTATTGATATATATCACAAGGCAAAGAAAGATGGAACAAAAGAACAAAAGAAACAAAGACAAAACAGAAATGAAAGAGGGTGAGAGAAGGGCAATGAGAGAGATAGAGAGAGAGAAAGTATTATAGAAATACAGCATTTGATAGAGCAAGACAGGAAATAAAGAAAATGAGAATGAATGAGAGAGAAAGAAAAACAGACAGTCAGACACAGAGAGAGAGAGAAAGAGAGAGAGAGAGAGAGTATAAAAGAAATACAGCATTTGATAGAGCAAGACAGGAAATAAAGAAAATGAGAATGAATGAGAGAGAAAGAGAAACAGATAGTCAGACACAGAGAGAGAGAGAGAGAGAGGGAGAAAGAGAAAGAGAGAGAGAGAGAGAGAGAAAGAAAAAAGAGATAAGATAACAAAATCATTGCTATCAATTATACATACCTGATCCCATGCCCTCTGCAGCCTGAGGTAGGATATCATCATACTCTCCAGCAGCTGCAGGGTTCCCTTCAGCATACTGTTTATCAAATGCTGAGAATGTGTCCGCTAAGGAGTAATCTGCTTGGACAGCATCAGGAATAGCAACATCATCAGCTAAGTTAGAGGACATCGAAGTCTGAGATTTGGTCCTGAAAATATACAAATAAAAAGAAGAAAAGAATGTTCAGGATTTATAATAGTAACTAGCAGGACCCGCGGAAATCCGCGGGATTCTAGAGGGGGGCGGGGTGTAAATAGATATATAGAGACTGTCTAAATTAAAACCACCAAGAACTTTATTTGCCATTCAAGCCATTACAAAAATATACATAACACATACATACATACATAATGTACAGAACACATTATGATGTAACGTTGCTTCCAAAGAGCTTTGGGAATTGATACCCTAGTTTTAGCTCTGGCAGCTGATATCAGTGCAGAGTTTATTTCAAGGAATAATCCTACCATGTAATCATTTACCTCACCTGGGTGGAGTGTGGCAAATGTAGATCAACATCTTGCCAAAGAATGTTAGTGTTGTGGCAGGTACTGAATAAGGTACTTAATAATCTATGACGGCTCTAAGTACTTAACAGAAACATGTAGTATATCATGTTGAAAAAGTTGAAAAATGTAAGGTTAATATTTTTCCCCATTAGTGGTGGCTAGTTAGAGGACTGTGTGAAAGACACTGATCAATACTAAACTATGTTTCTATACAGACACGTCCCAGATATGTCCTATACAAGTATAATTAAATATATTATGGAAAGGTTAAAATAAATAATAAATAAGATAGTCATCAGATAAACTGAAATCTTGGATGTGGTCCTTAGCATATGGGACAAAATAGCTTTGACTTGCCCTTACATGGATGTTATCTATACCTGTCATAAGAAAACTAGAGGAATTTAACAAACACAAGCATGATTTATTCATTGTTATTGTCAACACAATTTTAATGAACAAACAAGTAAAATATAGGAGACAAATTTGCTCAACAACCAAAAGTCCAGGTAAATGGGGTGCACAAAAAAAAGAGAGAGAAAAGAATGAAAAAGTATACCATTATTTAGAAGATAACAACAATAAAAAGAAAGTGAATAGAAAAAGATAAAAACAGAATGAAGAAAAGGATGAAGTAAACAACCAAGAAAAGGATAAAGGGGTTCAAGGAAATATAGTATGTCACTGGGTTTTCAACATGCCAGCATAGTATCAACTAATCCTTCCTTTTACAAAAAAGGGAATGGCTCCCTCTAGATTTGGAATTACAAAAAGTTTGCCACTAAACGTAACTTTGTGGTCTACATGATAGGTATCCTATTGCATCAGTTGATTGAACTTAGTGAAGGGCACCTACTACCGAGGCAATACATATTCTACAGAGATGTTGTGGTCTCGTGGATAAGTCACTGGACTGTGAACCACAGCTGACAGGGTTCAAATCCTGCCACAACACCACTAACATCCTTTGGCAAGACATGACTTTACATTTGCCACACTCTACCTAGGTGAATTAAAAGGGTACCTCGCAGAAAATAATTCTTTAAAATTCTTCAAAATGCTAAACACCCAAGTAATAAATGTGGAGCGCCAGAGTGTCATTTCTGAATAACATGAGTGCTATACAAGAACTTATTACAGTTCTCAATATTTGGTAGAACTGCCATTAAAAAAAAATTCTGCCATGGTAGCTAGTTACCCTAAGCTACAGTATTAATTGTATTTTCTATGTCCCTTTTACATACCTGTACGTTCGTAACCCTCTTTGTTTTGTTAGGATTGGAAACACTATTCCTTCCTGTAGGACAGTGAACAAACTTTTGATTTAGAAGATTAAATCGAACAAGAAATTCCTTTCCTACCTTGACTTAGTCCTCGATGGGGGTCTGCCAGCACCTGCAGCTGACCCAGGTCTGCCTCTAGAGGGAGGTTTCTTCTCTGATGCGAGGTTTGTGGGTTGAATAAGGGAAGGCTTGGGAAGCAAAGTAGAAAAAAGATTACCAGTCTGAGCCATTGGTACATTGGTCATGTCATTATATACTTTTGATTATCTTCCTTTTAAAATTTGTCTTTAATTTTTAAAAAAATCCTATCTATATTCCTATCTATATCTTTTTCATAATCTTTTTTACCATGTCTACATGATATTCACAGCTACAAGCAAGATCATTGAATAAGCTGTAATATACCTGTAGAAAAATAAAAATAAATTGTGTTATCCATAGTGGCATAATTCTTTTATAGATATAAAAGTACTTATATTGTTTGTTTTCCTATTTATCCGAGTAAAATGCAAGTAGTGTATTAAGTCATTAATTAAACACAGAATTAAATACATTTCTCAACAATATCATACAAATATAAATGAAACAATTTCTGTCTCAGTATAACATATACGGTACTAAGAACCCTACATGTGTAATGTTATTATGTCTGCATAAGGAATACTGACTTATATATACCTGGTTAAACTATCCCATTTGTATTAATAACAGAAAAACCATCATTCGCAATAATTAATTACCTTTGATATATCATCAGAGACGACTGGTTCAGTATTGAATATGGCTTGCCGTTCCTCCTCGCCACTCAGATCAAGCCCATTGAAAGAACGTGTCAAGATGTCCTCTTGCTCTCTCTGTTCATAAAAAATAGTATTATCAAATGAGTTAATTCGATTTAACATTACTGGTACATTGTCTAGTGGATAAGTCTCTGGACTGTGAACCATAAGGTACGGGTTCAAACCCCTGGTGCAGCACTAATGTCCCATGGCAAGGTATATCCTTAAAAATGCTGTAAGGGAAGAGGTGCTAAAGCCAAAGTAATAATATTGGAGTGCCATGAGTGGCTATGTGCCAGACTGAGTTTTATACAAGAACACACTATTATTATTATTATCATAATAATAATTGTTAATATTACAATGAACCCAAGTCAGCAAGGAATGAAAACATTAAAAGCATTACTTGACACCGCCAAATTTTGTTTTCTTCTTCCTAATCCTTCCCTACTTTTCTTTCTTTATACAAAACTTTGCGTCTTCTTCATTATGAACACTGCTAGTGCATGCATGAACTTGTCATATGTTCAGAAAGGTAGTTTGAACAGATTAACAACCCTTCAAAGTGTTGACATTAAATGAGCTGAAATCACTACCTACATGTATATCACAGAATGGTTTAAAACAACCACCAGTGAAGTTAACCAAACCCCAAAATGAGACCAATGTTTTCCTGAGGCCACTACAATGTTTTCCTGAAGACACTACAATGTTTTCCTGAAGACATTATAAACCATATTCAAGGAATCAAGGAATTAGTCAGACTTCCCATCCCAAACTTGAAATGAGCTGAAATAATTACCTTTACCTCTGGATAGTTCAAAACAAACACCTGTGAAGGTAATCAAACCCATAAATGAGACTAATGTTTTCCTGAAGACAATTTATACCATGATCAAGGAGTCAAGAATGTTTTGTTTTTGTTTTGTTAATCTTTTAAAAAGGAGTTGAGGAATTAGTCAGACTTCCCATCCCACTTCCTTACCATGACCGTCTCAGCCTCCTGTATGAGTGATGCGGTCTTGGCTTCGAGGGCAGCATTCAGACGCCTGCATACATGAAAAGATGCACATGATTGGTTAAATAAGATTATGGCAACACAGTCGTGACTGGCACATCGGTCAAAAGTTAATACATGTAATGGTTGTCATGAAAGAGCTTTTTATCATACTTGCTTTCAAAAATGTAATAAATAAAAGGGTAATAGAAATATAACAGAAAGGCACAGAAGTTCAAGTATCCCCACTCACACAAAACCAAGACATACAACATGAACATGTATGAGGTGGTCTACATATCTTGCCAAACACTTATTGATCACTCGCCTAGTAACATCACTTGTGCATGAATTAAATACACTTGCTAAAAAGGCTTTTTATACTCCAATTCTTCAGCTAAACATAGGGTCTATGATGTATGATTAAAACCTAATTTATATTTGTAAACTAATTTATACTTGATAGGAATGATTTCATTCTCCTGTCATAGATACTTGCATTTCAGAAGTCAGAAAGCAAATTGCATATATATTACATGTTGTAAGGTAGGGCAAGCCATAATGTTTGTCCTACCTAGCAACAACAAATGTATGCAATTTGAATTCTGACTATCAAGATACATTTATTTTGAACAGGTGAATGAAATAAATCATAATCGAAGCACATCACAAAGGCATATATGCATGATTTTGGTTACATTACAAAAATGGCCTAATGCTTATTGCTTTTCAACATTTTCATTGTGGATTTCATAGACTTACATATACTCTTCTTCACGGCTGACAAGATCCTTGTTCACACCTGCACTGGATGATGGTCTGGATCCTGTACCACCAGCTTTGGTTCCAGCTGCTGACCTTCGACCTCCAACCGCACCTCCAGTAGATGGTCTACTCCTCTGTTCAAAGGAGAAAGAAAAAAAAGACGTTTATAAAGAATTGGAGAATGAAACTAAATATTGCTCCCCTGGATGGACAGGCACATGCAACCTTATGAGACGCTACATTTATGTAAAGGCCTTGGCTATGGGAAGGACTACCGGTAGACGATTTGTGAAACCTGCTTTTGGGCTCACCTGTATCTAGACAGACCACCCATCTATAAAGACCCTCGAGTAGTGTTTTTCATTGACAGATTTACAAAAGATACCTGTTCCTCCAGAGCACCTGCATATAAAGACAAATTTTCTTGTCTCCCTTAAGCGAACTTCATATAATACAGGCTTCACTAAATAAATTATTGATGATAGGTTGAATTCTCAGGCTGAATTCTATAAAAATTGTGTATCATACCAAAATCAAATTACATTCTTTGAGTCAGGTAGCAGAAGCATGATATCAACAAGCTATCTAACTCTAAGATGTGATCAAAGAAGACAGAATGAGAAATGGGGATTTAAGAAAAGATATGAGTGCAGTAGACAGAAATAACCGTCTAGAATGGGTCATTCTTTAATAAAACTGACATTTGTCAACATTCCCACGACACTCCTGTCCTTCATTCTTGCTCTCTCGCTCTCTCCCATGAATATTTTTGCTAGACATCAGCAATGAAATGAAATGAAACTCATACAGTAGCAGATCACTAATAATGGCGATTCAAGAAAAAGAACCTGGCAGTGGGGACATCCACTTGACGCTTGAAATATCAGTGAGGATGTGCTGTGATACATAAAATTTCATCACTTTAATTTGTTGACATATGCAGGGTTGAGTATGGAACGGAAAACTTCCTACTACATAGTAGTTATAATCATGGTCTCTTTTGCTACAGTGTTGCACATATGATTGATCTTTGGTCTGATCAGACTCCGTTGGCAGTAGTCTTACACTTTGTATTTCTAAAATGATCTAAAAAACAATTTAGGTATTCAAGTGAACTTACATCTACATGTACAGTGTATCAAGTTCATGATTTTCACATTCCGCCCTAGACCCTACACGGTTCGGGTGAGAGTGCTGTCTGTGCATGGAGAAGATTAACAAATGTCACTTTCTTGAATCCCCTAGTCCTATACCAAATAGTTTTTGCCTAGGCAGCGTCTCACGAAACCGTCAAAAGTACAAGTTCACCGACATTTAATTGAAACGCGTGTTAAACAAATAATACACGCATTTCAATGGAATGTCAGTGAACTTATGACAGTTTTGTGAGACACTGCACAGGCAGACCAGCAATCTTGCTCCAGACCAGAAGCGGCGCTGGTCCGAGAATAAGGATCATCCACATAAACGCGGAAAGCGGACAGAGCATCCTCTAAAATCGTCTGCGTTTTTAAGGACAAAGCAGACCGGGAGCCAAATATCTGAAAAAGCGGCTCCCAGTCCTTCAATTTTTTAGAGAACCGGGAGCCGTTTTCCAGGACCAGGAGCCGTTTCCAAAATTGATGAAAATATGTATTCTTTTAAATTATTTGTTAACCATTACCTTTTATTGATACATATATAGTTTAATTTCTAGTTTAAATTTTGAGCACTCAATAATATTAAATCACTCATACCTTGGATAAATCTGTCATTTGTAGTTGTTGTTCATGTTTAAAACTATTTTCATGCCGTTAAATGTCAAAAATAAAATGTTAGGAAGAGGGAATTAAATTATTTTTATAAAAAAATGTTTAAGAAAAACCATCTATAATGACAATGCAGAGCTGCCAACCTGTTACTTTCAAAAAACATATTATTCAGCTTGAAAAAGCATATTTTTAGGTGAAAAAACAGATTTTGACTGTTTTACGTTTCTGTTTTTTCCCTATAAAATGCTATTGCAATCATGTTTCTTTGAATGAAAACGCATTCAATCATTGAGAGCAGCCGACCTATCACTTGAAAAAAAAAAAAAAAAAAATGATTTGTTAAATATAAATATATTTAACAAATCATTTTTTTTTATCAGAAGTTTTATGCCGAAGTTGCGGCACCCTTTGATGCTTAATTGCGGTTGAATCTCAAGTCTGGAGTTGCAATCAACTTTGTACATAAAGTCAATGCATCAGCAGGTCCAGTGTTTGTTTGTCAATGTCATTTGGCTTTTTGAAGATACATGTACCATCACATTGGAAGGGCATGTGATTAGCGAAAAAAATGGTAACCAAATCGCTGATTTCTTAATTTTTATCACTTTTTCGGTGAAGCTGTTTCTTAAAACTGGGCTAAACCCCCATGAGCTTTAGAAATATGGCTCCGATTCCGCATTTTTGACAGCAAAATTTGGCTTTTGGGGTGGATTTTTGGAAGTAACATCGGATCTTTCTTGTATACTGACACTGTGTGTGTAGTGCAGTGCACCGATATAGTCATTTGCGTGAGTATGCATGGCCTGGGGAAATGTGCTCGTCTTTGAGTGGTGTACATCCCCTGTATTGTGTGCAATGTACATGAGTGCGCGTTGCATTGTCTTTGATTTGATTTTGAGTTCGACTCCGACTGTGATTTGCATTGTCTTTGATTTGATTTTGAGTTCGACTCCGAGAATGAACGCACACTTTTTATTCAGCCTTCAGGGTTTTGCTGCAGTCATGGTGTTCAAGGTTATCCCAAGGTAAACACTTTCTTGTGTGAATGTCTGAAACCCTAAATCTAACTAGACCTATAGGCCTACCCCTGATTATGCGTTGGGCCTGCCGCATACATTTTTTTCTATGACAATTTCGAGAGATAATATTACATCAGTCTATGGAGACTCAACTAATTACACGTTATGAAACGATGGATTGTTTAACTGTATACTTTATTATTACAAACATAAGTCAACTTCTCCAACACGTTATCATCGTTAACACCGACACCAATTATCTGTATTAATCCTGTAATAGCGAAACTATGCATACGCTCGTTCTCACAGCCAGCCGCTAACCACGTTCGCACAGTCAAACTTGTAGACGGAGTGAGAGTGTTGTTCGCGCACTCTCGCTCTCCGCTAGCGCTCTGCACGCAGCGGCTAGCCCCCATAGCGGTGCACGGTGGTGCTAGGAGTAGGAGATAGCGGCCGCTCGTATTCGTGCTGCAATTGTTTCTGGGCGATTTTAATTAGGATTCTCATTATAAAATGATTTGTTAGGGTTCATTCAGTCCACGTTTAACTCGTATCAAGTAAGTTTTTGTCACATTTGTGAACATTTAGTGCTAGACATGTGGAAGTTTCTGAAACAGAAAATGTTAATTCTCCCAGACCGGGCGCCAAAAATAAAAAATGACCGCGCCCGGTACTCATTTTTCCAGTCTTACCGGGCGCCAAAAGTCAGGGACCGTTGGGTAAAAATCGCCCAGCGCCCGGTTAAGAAAAGGCTTTGACCCCAAACCCACAGAGCGCTGAAAAACAAAACGTCCACAGACGATCCTTATTTTTTAGGACACAATTTGACTGCATTTATGAGGATATCCTCCTTTATGCAGACGATCCTAATTCTCAGACCAGCCCCCTGCAGACTCTAGAGATCAGACTGTGATTTGCATTGTCTTTGATTTGATTTTGAGTTCGACTCCGAGAATGAACGCACACTTTTTATTCAGCCTTCAGGGTTTTGCTGCAGTCATGGTGTTCAAGGTTATCCCAAGGTAAACACTTTCTTGTGTGAATGTCTGAAACCCTAAATCTAACTAGACCTATAGGCCTACCCCTGATTATGCGTTGGTCCTGCCGCATACATTTTTTTCTATGACAATTTCACAATTGCACTGATTCCCAGCAAGAATTGTAACGCGTGGGACTAATCTACTATTTTATTCCTCCTCTATCCACGATCCACATCGTTGATTGGGAACATGAACCAAAAATACACTATAAAAAAACACGCAATGTTACTTACTGCTGATGATGGTCGTGTCCCACTTGCTCGACTGTTCCCTCTACTCTCTGCCATTATGAAATTTCAATTAGAAATTATTTTCATAGAGCCGTTCCGTTACTGCGTTAGCGGTCACCGAGGCAGCGACAAACAATTTACGAAAGTTGCGTTCACATTAACGCCAATCTTCCGCATACGTATATACCGCCATGAAGTGGTGAGCAGTCTCGCTTTCTCTTTCTCCCTCCCTCTCCCTCTCTCTCTCTCTCTCTCTCTCTCTCTCTTTCTCTATTTTTTAAAGTTCAACATTAACTGACGATAAATTTTTATACGAAGTGAAACTATTTCCTAGTAAAGTCATACATGTCTGAATGAACTGCCCCGGGCCCCCAAGAACCTCATCTGACTAGGAAGGCCTCATCTATATAATTGACTTTATTACACATTTCAATGATGTAAGTTTATTTAAAAGACCTACACATCACAACAAGAGTAGGCGCAAAACGAGAGTACCATGTATAAACATGAAGCGACCCGACTATGGTCTTTCGAATTCCCCAGCTGAAGTTAACTCAGGTAAGTTAGCAAAGTAATAATTAGAAAATAATGCTAATTATCTCCATTACTTTCTTCAAAAAATATTACGAAAATATATTAATAGCAAAATTAGTAGATACACGTTCAAAATAAGGTGTAATTTTGTTTGCATTAATGATGGTATCGGCCTGTAATACTTTATTGCGCCATGTTATACTGTTTATGCTAAAACTAGCTGCAGGTAACTGCTAGCCATCAACATGGGAAGAGGTCATCCCTGACACCACTCCATGTTTTATCGGCATGTGTGAATCCATCTATAAAACATGTGGGCCTGATGAAGTTCCTCCTCGCCTGGTTAAGGTAGTTGCAACCGAAATCGCCCAGCCATATTTCGTCCCTCTACAACAACCCAACTTTCAGCGAATCACGACTGGGCTCACACCCTCCATCTGCTAGGCCAAACCGATGTGTTTTTTATGGACATCCAGAAAGCATTTGATCGGCTACCACATCAGGGGGTGTTTCACAAAGACTAAGATCGACTTAAGCTGTACTTAACTATGGCATGTCGTTCATGCCACTGTTTGCTCTCATGCACCCCAAACTTGTTAGAAAGAAAAAAAAAGAATTTGTATGTGCCAAAAAAATCGGCAGAAGAAATGATCCTTACAGCTCTTTTTTGTATTTTGAGTATGGAATCAATTTTCGTCTTGGAAGAATTTGATTGATTGATTGATTGATTTTTATTCGAAAAGCTTCCACCATACAACAATATACAATAATAACAGATCAAACATAAGTCAGCTTGAACAGGATAACCCACCAAAGCTCGAGAGCTTAGTTCCAGTGGGGTCCCTTACAGACATGTATAAAATTAATAAGTTAAAATAGTAATATTTACAGACAGATAAGAAAATTAAACTTAAAATTAAACTACTTATTAAAGATAATAATAACAACATTAAACTGATGATAGAAATGATATTAAGTACAAGAAGAAAAAGAAGGAGAAGAAGAAAAAGAGGAGAAGGAAGAAGAGGAAAATAATGATGAATTTGTAGAATTTCTATAACGTACGAAAACATAAGTACATGTATATACAACATGAAAAAGTATGAACCGACAGAAGAATAAAAATTTCAATCATATAACATTCACTTCTCTTCTCTGACTGTCAAGTATTAGGTATTCCTTTAATTTCCTCTTAAAATGATCATAGTTTCCTATTTCTTGTACACCATTGGGAAGGGAATTCCAATGTTTAATGGCATTGTAATTTGCCCAGTGTGCCCAACACGGAGTGAGCTGCACTGCAAAGTTCAGGGTTCAAGCCCATGAGACCGACAGCCCGAGGGACTGACAATGTCGGTCTAGTAAACTCTCTGATCAGTGAAGAGGGTAGACCCCGACGAGACCGAAAACCAATGGGAACATCTCGTGGGCCTTTTGAAAACTTCTTTGAAGGTTGACCTATAGACGCCATCTAGTTCAAATAATTTTCGATTAATATCAACTCTTTATAAGACGGGGCCAAGATCGACATTATTATCGTCTGTCTCGTGGGCTGTCTGTCTACTGGGGTGTCCCCGCTAATGCTTTCAATATCGCTTTTTGTTTTAGAGTCATGACTCTCACGCAATACTTGAACACCATTGACTGGACAAAATGTTACTGTTATAATATTATACGATACATCAAACAAATTGCTACTTGTACGATGACCACCGTATCGAAATGAAAGACAAAACGCTAGATAAACATTGATTAATTTCAATATTTTTCCAATATACTGTAGGCCCTATTCATGGTAGGCCTAATTATATCATATTTATCTCGAATTAGGATAAAAGTTGATATACTACACTGTACAATGTAACTGGTTGGAAGCAGTGCCTTAATAATTTCTACTGATTAACCTTGCACAGAAAAAATACAAATACATGTAAACCTTTTCTTTCCTCATCATCATTAACCAAAAGCGTTAAAAGGTATATAATTACTGCAAACATTCTAGAACACAATTTTGTAAAGTAATTTTAACGACATAGATGCATGACAAGTCATGATTGCTGTGCATCCTTCAAAAATTTAGCACAAGACGTGTTGGAAATAGGCGGAAATAACGTTGCGTACACTAACTGCTCAAGTGAAAGCGCGCGTTAATTCGGTAGCGGAGCTTTATCCGCTTGGCGTCATTTTATGAACTCATTTTCTACTCAGTGTCTGCGGGGGGTAAACGTATGAATGTCTGTGCCTCTAACTTTCTACCGACAAAAGCTGATGGTGCAGGGAATTACTAACGTACGCCAACTTGGAATGAAGTTGTCTTTCGGATGATAATCGTCTTTGAACTTATCTTGAAGAAGTTTTTTTTGGGGGGATGGGTCACAGCATGGCGTCACACACTTCAAACGCTCTAACCTGGATCTTACTATTAGCTGCAATGATATTCCTAATTGAGGTGGAGATGGTGCACGGAAGAGGGACCAGACGTACAGCCACTGTTCGTGGATGCACGTAAGTTACATAACATTAGTCAAAATATCTCTGATGGTGTTTAGGCCTATTGACGTCACCTTTAAACGTCAGGATGTGTTTTTTTTCAAGATATAGGCTTAATTATATTTCGCACCCATTTTCACATCTAGAGTACGATCTGAGCTTTCAAACTACTGACCGATCTCGCTATCCTGTATCTGCTCAAAGATAATAGAACATTATCATACTCAGTCATATCTCAAAACTCATTGCTTAAAATAGTATTCACTATTCGTAGATCCACGTAAGTTACATAACATTAGTGAACATATCTCTGGTGGTGATTTGGCCTGTTGACGTCAAGTTCACCTTTAAACTTCAGGATTTGATTGTTTCGATGGGCTTGTATGTTTCTTCTTATTTCGTTACAAAAGTATATCACACCATTATTTGAATGCCTTAATTCATTGCGATTTCTTATGTGGCGCAAGCTTAGCTTGTGAAGAAAACAAATTACAGAGTTGACAATGTTATCGATATCTTTTATAATGTGGATGTGTCAAAAGAGTAGATATCTGAACACAGAAGTTTTTTTTAAAAAACTTGCATGCATCGTTTCGTTTATTATTACTGAAGCAAAGTGGGGAAAGGGAATGTGCCATAGCTTGATGGGGTATACATTTTATTTACGACTTTTGTTTGTTTGATTGTTAACCTGCGAGGTGCTATACTTCGATTTATGTGAAGGCAATAGGCGAATTGTCAAGTCATGGTACATTCATTGATGGTCACAACTGTTGAAAGAAATTTGTTGATATCTTTTACTAAATTGTTATTTCTTAATCATCAAATGCAAAGTAATGTCGTTTAATTAATCCTTTGGTTTTCTTTTTCTACAAGGTCATTATCTGACCAATATGTATCCCTTTCCCCCAAATAAGGTGTTTTTTAAACGTTTCAATTTTTTAGGGATTTATCATTCTTCTCCCTTAGTTAAGTCATGATGTAACCCAGAGCTGGTGTAACATAGTGCCCATACATATCATATTTTTCGAACAATTATAGCAAATTACTCTCTTTACTCTTTATCGAAACTGCCTGTTACACGTAAGAATGAAATTCTTGCAATGAACGGTAGAACTTGTATATCATTTTTTTTTCTCGAAAAATTGCCACTCTTTCTTTTTTTTTTCTATACGGGAGGTTTAGACAATCTATACCAAAGACTTCACCCATCGAAATTTATTTTTTTCTTCAAATTAAAAAAAGGAAAAAATCCTATCAGAAAGTAAAGTGGTCCGCAAAAGGTTGAAACCTTACTCCATACAGAATGATAGCTCATTTTCTTTCTTTAAGAGTCGGTCTATACCGACAAAAAAGAAGAAGTTCATTAACCTAATCTCTTCCTTCCCGAGAGATCATAGGTCTAAATACCTGCATTTTTCAATCAATCAATCAATCGAGGTCAACTTGTCCATCCATCTTCTGAAATAAACAATGTGTTGTCTTAAACACCATGTCACATGTTCATGACCATTTTGCATGACGTTAGTCGTAAAACCTGGAATTTTAGAGATCACATTGTGATCAATCAAGATCAAAATGATCACATTCCAGACGTTTAAACATTAAAATAACCACTGGGAACATGCAAGAAGGGTTGGTCCATTGGGGGGAATCAAGTCTTAAGTTCTTCCAGCTTTTTCAAGTTGTTGTGTAGCCTCATGCAACTTCATAAAACTTTATTGCTGTCCGAACGAACCTTATCATTATTCCATTTAGGATCATAATGAAATATCAACACAATATTGTTTAGAACTATATTAACGAGATCGGCATGGATTATTATGTACATATGATTCTCCTTTTTCCATTTGGTTTTAAAAGCTACATCAGGATATGAAAAATGCTACCACAAACATGCCACATTTACTTTACGAAAGAGAAAGAAAAAAAAATCTGTAACAGTAACTAATCGTACGAAACGGATACAGTAAATTACGATTATCTCCTAGGAGAAATCGTATATAATCTGCTAGAACTTTGACGAAGAAATGTTTTACATTGATGGGTTCCTAGCGTTGACGGATCAGAAAGCTTAGCATCATTGGCCTTCATTCTGTGATCCCTTCTTTGATAGCATCTTTATCCAGCTTGTCTCCAGGCGTCAAGGGAATTAAACAGAAATGTTCAATTCAATATTATCTTTTATTTTGTCATAGGAGACTTCCCGTATAATGAATTATCAACTGATCTCTTCCATGCAATATTGTTCAAGATCCACAGACTCTTAGGAAACGAAATGTAAAGTTGAATATTGGAATTATTTTTGTATATTATATTTAATTTTTGTTTATTTTGTTAAATCGAAAGTTTGAATGCTTTTACTTTTACATCGTATTTTCTACCATCAAGTTTTTTTTAAAAGTGATAGTAGCATTTGCACATTTTTTTGTTATCATGTAACTTATAATCCCTGTACTCCCTGCAATTTCATTTTTTCAAGATATCTTAATTTTATTTCATGTAGAGGTATATTGTCCGAAATCATATGTCCCTATGTATAACATTGGCGACTGTGTGCATGAGATGGTATACCGAGGTCAAAAGATGACTTGTTTGGTTTAATCGAGAACATTATTGGGTAACTTTTTATGAAATCGACCTCTGTAGGTTTTCCTCTTGTACTTTCATCGCTCGGTTGTGACTTCTACTCGATTTGAACAGAAACAAATTGAAATGAAAATAATATTTCACCATTAGGAAAATACTAATTGTTCATCATTTTCAAAACAAATATTGTCATCATGATCGATTATGTATCAGAGAGGCGGGCGGGAGGGGGGAGGGGTATAGCAGACAAAATCTCAGCACGTCAGAACCGTAAAATCACTACCATTAAAATCTCAGGTGTATACTGACAGTCATAAAGACCCGTAGGTTTAAATTTTAGGCAAGTTTAATACGAGGCTGGGTTTCCCCCTCTTCGATTCCCTATTGTAATGTACTGATATGAAAATCTCATGAACTACAGTTGGTAAACCCTGGAGTAAAGAAACGGAAGACACCCTGGAAAACAGAGGACACCTCTCTGAAATTTTGGCAAGCGTAGTGAAATTTTATGATTCCATGCTCTATTCTCAGATACCTCTGAGTCACAACCGGATCATTACATGGCAGCACGAGCTATAAGGTAAAAGAAGGGCTAACTGTTAATCCTTCCCAGTTTTGTCTGTTCACCAAAAAGCTGTACTTTTCAGTAACTGAGAATAGACTTAACTATAGATAAATGACAGGAAACATGCACTTCCTACCTCGTTGGTCTAACTTATGGGATGGGGAGGTGCGTGAAAATGGTGGAACGGCCTTAGGCTACAGATATTTGAGAAAAAAATTATCAAATGTTTCAATTGAAATTGGAAAAAGCGTGGTTTAGCTCACCCCATGAAAAATGAATTAGTTATATCTTTCACAATCCATTAACTAGAGCCTGTTAACATAACAATGCACTCAACCAACTAATCGTGCTCTGATCGGGGGAGGGGGCGGGAACGAGGGATAGGGACGGCCTTTTTTTACTTTTTACACACAAGCCGGGCATACAGGAAAATAAATAATAGATGAACGATATTTTTTTAGAAGAGGCGTAAAGAGGTGTTATTGCTCCAAACATCATATGAAAAGTATCAATATAATTTGTAGAAAAAGAGAGGAGTTTGATGATAAATGGGTTAGTTGTTCCCAAGATGTGTTCACTACCATTCAGAATAGCATCCTCTGCCTAACCATAAAACAAAGAAATCTTACACGGAATATATTCTGCCCACATGATCGAAGTAATTCTTATCTCGACTGATTTTTTCTTCTTCTTCAGAGAAACCTCCCAATAATTGCCCCTTCAATCTTTTGTGACGGGGGTGTGTGAAGCATATTACCGCTATGCTTTTTAAAGACATGATTATCAAGACATTTTACGTTTTTATTGTGACGTGATAAATGACGTACATAAGAATATGTTCATGTTAAAGTAAAAACGTGACACTGCACGGTCGGAGTCGGCGATCTATATAGTGGTACAAAATTAACACCAAATGTTACCACATATTTTGTTGAATATAAAAGTTTCTTCTACACCTTAATTTCGGGGAAAATAATTTTCAGTATATTTTAGGAGTGTGGCAATTCATCACCATGAACAGTAAAACAAAAGATAGGTTACCAAATCAGTTAAGGAAAGGGGAAGAGGTAAAGGGAATTATCCCCATAAATTTCTATTCGAGGATATAAAAGGAAACCATTGGTTTTATTTCGGAACTCATTAGACCAAGAGATGGGACTGCTGCCAGCTTCCAAACGCCTTTATCCTAAATTCGGAAAACCACCAACTTTTGAGATTGGAGTTCAGCACCTTTGGCTGTTTATTTGTTTAAGAGAAAAAGAATGAAGAACAATTACCTTTAGGAATCAATGACTCTATGAGAAAGTCTGATTCTTTTTGGTTTCAATTTCATTTGAACAAGAAACTAAAGATTGAGAATCGATAGTTTTTTACCTTTAAGAATCAGTGGCTCTATATGAGAAAGTCTGATTTTTTTTGGGTTTCACTTTCATTTGAATAAGAAACTAAAGATTGAAAATCGATAGTTTGTATACATGACACTTTTTATATATTGTTAAGTACTCTGCCTGCGCGATGAATAAAATGTAAAAAATTATTTTTTTGTTCCGGTTTAGACATCGTTATGAAACCATTATGAAAGAGATAGATAAATAGAGAGATAGGGGTAAGGTGGAAACATTATTACATAAAAAATTAAAATCCCTACACTATGAACTCATATTATGTTCACAATCTATTGTATTTCCAAGCAAACATATAAATGAACATTACATTTTAGCAGTAGCATAGCATACATGATTTAAAATTTATATAGACATGTCATGGTCACCTCAGTCAAAATATAGATCAATTCATTTCAAAACACTCCGGAAGACGTAATCTATCTGTGCGTTTATCGATTTCTGAATTATTTAAAGAC